GGGTGCCCTAACCCCCTTTTTCACTGTCCTAAACCTAAGCCCCCCCTTCGCCATCCATGTGTGTTTGATGAAATTTGTAGGAGAAATATAGTATGGCAAGCTCCTTGAAGTTAAAGCAAGTTTTTCGGGAACTTAATTCGGAAATTAACTCGTTTTATTGCGCCTTTTATGGAACTATCCACGATAAAGTTGTGTTGGGGTGGGAATATATAGGTGAATACTAAAGGGTGGCTACTTATCTTATACTGTGTTTATACGATGGCCATTTCATGCAATCTTTTCATGTGTGTGTGTATAGACATCATTTCATGTCCTCGCTTACACATGAAATTTGACTACAAATACGTGAAATATTGAGGCGCAACCAACTTAACTCGCTATAAATAAGGTGGCAACGCCAGACGCAAATGTATATCATTGAAATTAATTTCGCCCTTTAAAGGGCCAATTAATTTTTTTGTCTTCACTCAGCTTTATTACTAGTTAGTTTTCCTGTTCGCTTTGACGAAATAAATTATTAGTTATATTATTATAAATATAAATAATATCAGAGGTGCCAGATATTTAATTTAAGTTTTGTATTTTGCATTCTTGTATTCATGAATTCATGAAATTTATAGTATAAACAGTATAAGGTTTCCCTAGCAAGTGAGCCCTTATTTCTCGAAGATTGCTGACTGACAAGGCCATTCCACGTTATTGCCAACAATAATTCACACGCAACAAACGATGGGCGGTGGATGGTGGGTGGGGGTGTGGCAACTGGGGTGGCAATCAACAATTGTTGCATGAATAAAGCGACAAGCGGACAGGACATTGAGGCTAATGATTGCCAGCGCACACAGATCACTGAGCAATCTTCGGTGGGGTTGTCAGCTCACTCTAATGCTCAAAATTGTGCCATCAAAAATAATGCGTAGGCGGGTAATTTCCCTCCCCGCCAAACTCCTTAGCTCCTGCTCCCCTCTTAAAAAATAAAAAAATATATATTCCCGGCACTTGCTGGCCCAAGATAACGCATTAGATGATGGAAATTATCCAGGACAATGGGAGGAAGCCTGTCGACAGACCATTGTGGTTCTCATGAAACTAGAGAAGCTGGAAACTGGAGACGGGAGACAGGAGAAATTGGGCCAAAGTAAGGTGGAGAAAGCGGGCTTGACTTGCCCGGGGCCAGTTCAGAGGTGAACATTGACAAATGAAGGTCCTCAAACGGTGCAGAAATTGAAATGAGGCACTGCCTAACCCTCGACACAAAAACCAGTTACAAAATCTAAGAATAAGAAATTATTCAAAGGCCCTTTGTAAAAAAGAAGAAACATTTGTTAGGCTTAGCCTAAAAGAGCCATCACAACTAATTTCAATTAATACAAGGAACTTTTCATTTTATTTAGCTGAATATTGCAGTAAACTTGTTTTTATCGCAAAACTAATTCATTACATAAAATATATTCAGCAATTTTAGTGTTAGAAATATTTTCCATAATTATATGTTTCCAAAAATTTATTTATCCCAGGACTAAAGATATTATTCTGTACTACAACATACAATATATAAAACAAATTCTTCAAATTTTTAATTAAGGAAAAATTTCATTTTTAATATTCTATTTAATGTTGGAAACATACGATTGTTATGTTTCCAAAAAAAAAATCGTATACTCTTCAAACAAAATGCCTTAAACTTTATCGATAAAATACATTTTTTTATAACCAAATTGCCAAAGAAACTGCTAACTGATTTATTTCATGTTTAGGTCAATCTAATTTGAATAAAGTTCAATCAAAGTCAAATTTAATTCCCCAAAGTTAACCTACCAGACCCTTTAGATAAGGTGTGCTCGATAATGGAAACAATTTGAAAATTTTGTATATATTTCCATTTTTTTTTTTTTTTTTGATTGGGTTGAACTACTTAAAGTGCCAAGAAAATTTTCAAATGCCATTTGTTTCTCCCTCCTGTTCGTTTCATTTTACCCTGAGTTTTTCTTTTCACATTTTTTTTGCATTATTCTGTTGTTCCACTCATATTAGGGGAAATCGAATTGACAGCGACAGCCACAAGTGGTTTGGTTACTTGGGAAATCCACCGAGGGACTCCGAGTCCTGATTAGTGAGAGTGCCCCTCACGTCAGCGATGTCACTGGCCACCTTGGGGTACATAAATCCAAGTCCATGTCCAAATCCCAGCCGGATCCGTCTGCCACACACCTGATAAATTCATCAAAATCCGGAAACCTCAGCAGTCGCATGGAGAATTGCAGTTTCCACAGTCAGAGGAAAGGGAAAAGATGGCTTTACACTTGCCTTTTTTTGGGGAAAGTCGGAAAATTGTGCTTAATTCATCTGCTTTTCATATAAAATCATAAAAAAAAAACTTTTAATTATATAAAAACACAATTTTCTGTTTTATTTAAATTTTTTAAACACTAACTATTGAATTAAATATTTTATATTTTATATTTAAATTACATATTACATCTTAATATTCAATAAAATGCAAATAAATATTTTAATATATGTGAAAATTAGTAGATTAAAAACAGTTCCTTTTTTATTTACATGCATTTTATTTATGTTAAACATGGAGTAATTTAAATTAGTTTATCAGATGCCAGATGTCTGTCAAATAAAAAATTAACAATTTGTAATATTTTTATGTTTAAAAAACATAAGCCCGCAATGAATAAAAATCAAAGCGAAAAATATTAAAATTGAATGCAAAATATTTGGATTTACGGCTTTTTTTATAACATATATATAAATATGTTAGGCTTTTTGTTAAATTTTTTAAGTGTCTACCACTGCAAGCATTTTGTCGAAACATCTCTGCCATCCTGTTTGTCCTGTTTATTTATTTATCGAGCGAACTGCGGCAGGTGAGGCAAACTTTTGGATTGGACTTCCGCTTTTGGATTGGGATTGGGTTTCGGTTTCGCCGTGGGGCATACGGCTTACTGCCCACGCAGCTTATCGAATCGGACAGCTGACAAGCTGGCAGTTGGAGGAGCAACTACCGGGGTAGATGGACGAATAGATGGATGGATGGATTGGAGGTCTCACCGCGGAGGATGGGAACGATGATGATGAGGCAGCGAGACAGCGATTTGAAGAGCTCTGCAGACAGAAACCGCAGCGTACTTAGACAACGTTTGCCAGCTGATAAATGGTTGCCTGTCACTTAGCCGCGTTCTTGATGGAGTACTAAGCCAAACATCCATCCCACACACCTACCAAAACCACCCATTTAGCCACAACCCACAACCCACACAAAGTCCCCCGGAGGCGTGCTAAAAAATAAAACAAAGTTGAAGTTCCCCAAACGAGAAATCGCATTAGCGAGCCTGAGGTTTGGGGCTGCATTTCAGATTGAGTTTGAGGCCAGAGCCTGGATTTAAAGTTGAGGTTGGAGCTTGAGTGGCCGCCGGCCAAGTTCTGGATAAAAGTGCTATTTTTTAAAAGACCTAAAATGCGTTTCATAAATTTTTCACATCGTTCCTTAAAAAAAAGCAAGATACCACACCTAAATTATGTTTAAAGACTTTTACCTAGATCAAGTGTCCATTGGTTGGGCCAAGAATGTGTTTTAATAGTAAGTTTAAAATTTCAAATAGCTAAACGCTTGCTTAATTTATTTAATTAATTAAAGGGACTTAAAAATGTAATAAAAGTGTTTCTATAAATGCATTTGCATATATGCATTTCAAAGTCATTAACTCCTTTGTGTAAAATATTTTGGAAAGTATTTAGCAGGAAACTATAATTATATATAAAGTGTGTTTATAGGGTTAAAGTTCATCTTGTTGTTTAAAAATTAAAATTAAAATTTTTCTACATACGCAAATGCCTCTAAAAGTTTTTAAATATTTTGCGAAAAAGTATTCAATAATTTTCCAGGTATTTCGAAGGAAAAGCACTTTTATCTTTAAAATAACTTTAAAAATTGAAATACTTTTGTTCAGCTTAAAATGTTGTGGTGTAAAATATGAAATTTTCTAAAAGTGATTCAGTTAATTGACTTACAAGTGACCAACTGCTGGCGCCTGAGGCTTTCTATTTTCTATTTTTTTTTTTGGAGCCCTGTTAAGCAGCGACTTTAATTGTGTTTAAATATTAATTAAGCTTGGCCCGGGGTTCAGTAGCCGCCAGGTTCAATTTCAATTTAACTTTGTTATCGACTGTGGCTCCCCGGGGCCTGAACATTTTCGGCTGCCAAATCAAATTCGACGCTCAATTAAAATTCAATTTGTTGCGCGCCATTAATTAGATTCTCCTCCTCGGAAAAAAGAGAAAACCAAACCCAAGTGATGGATTGCGGGGATACAGGAGGAGATTGAACCTTTTTCTAATAGCAACGAACGAACGAACGAACGAACGCCACCTGAGACTTTGCTCCCCGTATTCATTATTATTCTATTACCCACCCAGCCATCTTTATGCAATTCTGGCCACATCCCTTGATGATTCAAGTCTGGCAACCACCTGCAGCGATTGGCGGCCCCACCAATTAGTGTGGCCGACGCCGCTGCTGATGCTGCTTTTCTTTTCCTTTTCCTTTGGACACTTCAATTAGGTGTAATCTATGCGCATAAATTGACCGGGCATGTGCAACATGTGGTGGTCGCAGCAGCACCACTCAAAAAAAAAAACTTCCATCAGAACAACTAATTTTCAAAATATTTTGATTTCGATATACAATTAACAATTTAAAATATAATATTGCTCTAGTTGTACAAAAAGTAGTTTGTGATACATCACATTTATTTGAACAAAAGGCTTCATGTGCATTAGGGTGGTCCAAATTCGTAATTTGGAATAAATGCGTTGAGCTCACAGAATATCACTTATACGCACTGTTGGCTTCTCTTTTTTTTTTCTTACTGACTTTACGTGCCGTATAAATTATTTATATGAAAACTTTAAGAACATTTTTAGATCTTGTTATCTATATTTTTTCTTTCTGTGTAGCGCCCTAGTGCCAATCATTTGGCATGACTCACCTGCTTCTGCAACGTGTTGGATAGCTCCTCCAGGCACTCCTTGCGCTCGAAACGCTCGAACTTGAAGCTATTGGAGCGGTACAGTTCGTTGTCCTCCCGCCGACGATTGCGGCACAAGCGGCGGGTGATTATGTTGCCACCACTACCGCTCAGTCGAGGACTGCAATTGAAATAGGTAATTAGTAAATAAATATATGCCATAAATAAAGTACTTTTTCGAGATCAATTTATCTTAGCACTCAAAATTTTTCGATATTTTAGAAAGTATATCTATTGTTACTATATATAATATTTGGCATATTTTTGACACTTTTTAGGGAACATACAGAATCAAAAAGTATGAAAAAATTCCATCCTTAGACAACAAACATATACTTTTTAAATAATACTATATAATTTAAGTAAGCATTGCCAATTTAAGGCTACATAACTGTTTTTAAAATTGTTGTTTCGGCTCCATCAATTTGATTTCTCTGATGACAGGGGCTTTTCCCAATCCACGCAACACATTAAGCCACCGAAAAAAAAAGGATATACCAAGGAGAATGACACCCAACCAACCGCGTGGGCGGCTTGCGGGTGGGCGGGTCACATCGGAGCTCGTTAGCTGGCGCTTCATTAAAATTTCACACATTCGGCGGTGAAGAAAGCTCTGCTCCATTTACCTTATTATGCGCGTCCTCCGCCGAATGTCTGATGTTGGCTTAAAGCCTCAAAAAGTTAAGCTCCATTTTTGCCTTCTGCCCGACGGAATGGCGACCCACTTTGCATTCGGGTTCGTTCAACGCCCACGGCCACTTCAGTGGCTCAAAAACTCGGTTGCAACCAGCTCCAACGAAACCACAATAAAAACAAAAGAAAAAAAATGAAAAAACTTTCCGTGGGCGGAAGAAAGTGGTGAAAAATGGGCAAAAAAAAGGGGAAAAATAAGGAAAAATAGGGAAAAATGGTTAAAGAAGAAAAAACAAAAAAAAAAGGGAAAAATGGGTGGGCAACCCGGGGAGAACTCTGCGGCAAACAAAAGCACAAGCCACTGGAGCAGACTCAAGTGGCAGCCACTTGGGCACTCCAACTCCAACTGGAGCTCCAGTTGCAACTCCACTTGCAAGCTGCACTCACGGAAAAAAATGCCAGCAAGGTACTCTCAAGTTTTACAATGCAAAAAATAAGCTTTTGTAAGGGTAAAGAGAAACATACCAAATATGATAATACATTGTAAGAATTCTCAAGAAAAAAAAAGATTCTTACAAAAGATCTTTCTTGAAAATCATTAGGATCACTCTTAAATGTCTCTTAAGGTCTGCTGTGAACAATATAACGTAATTTGTTGGTACCAAACTATTTGAAGTATATTTATCCGGCAAACCATAAAAAATTTGAAATCCCTCAAAAATGTATTTTATGTATTAGGTATATATCCATTAAATTTTAAATGATTTCAAATTTTATAAGCAGCTGCGGTTATAATAATCAAAAAAATTATCTGCACTTCGTATGCTACATAAAATATATACATTTTATTTGTTTTTACAGATTTTTAAGCTATATTTTTATCTATGATAAATGTGGGCTTTTAAGTGTGCTCCATTTAGTTTACTTCATGAAAATATAAATATAAATTGCTTCAAAAACTAGTTTTGATTTCTATGCCCATAAGCTATAATACTACTATTTTCATGACCGCAGCTGTTTATTGGATTCATTAAATTTCTGGGTACAAAATGAATGTTTTTAAATGATTTCAAATCTTTATGCACATATGTATATCAAAATATAATATAATATGCAGTTTTAACTTTAACTTTACTGTATTTTGTACTGCCCTAATTGTTTTTCCATTAAATTGAGAGAGAGAATAATTTGTTTCAGTGCAGCAGTGCTACTCACCCGCAGGGTTTGCAGTGCGTCATGTGCAGGTCCCAGTTGAGATGGAAGTTGAACATGCGCAACTTGGCCACCGCCCGCTGTCGCAATGAGATGTCCGGCTGTCCTCCAGTTCCAGCTCCACCTCCAGATCCTGCTCCTCCCGCAGCACCACCCGAAGTGGATGCCTGGCCGGGACCAGATCCTCCGCCACCTCCAGTGGATGGGGCCAGTGGCGTGGCTCGCTGGGGATTCGGATACATCATCACTGTGCCACTGGGCGCCGAGGTGGCGAACAGGCGTCGCGATGAGCCACCGCCCCCGCCGGACACGCCCCCACCATGGTGGTGACTGGGGCGATAGTGCTGGTGTTCTTTCAGAGTGTAAAAGCCGCCCGAGGAACTGCAATGGAAAGCGAGTCAAGGCTAGAGTCTCTCCGTCGAGAACAATAAGAATGAAGAAAACCATAATATTCGAGGGTGCTATAGATATCTTCAGGCTTTTTCTTATTTTCAAAAGAAATTTATATTCACTAGGGTGGTCCAAATTCTAAAATCCTGCGCTCGCCCGCTTAAAGTATGCCCTTTTCTGAGTTTAAGGCACACCAAATATAATTAACAAAGAAGAAAACACGTTTTAGGGTCTGTCTATTGGATTCAAATAATATAACTCATACGCACTGTTGCCTTTAATCAAACAATTGATAGCAACTGACATTAATTGTCGTATTTTTAAAAGCTTCAAGACCATTGCGCAGTGCCTTAAACATATTAATTATCTGTTTAATTTTTTTTTTGGGGCCAAAGAACTCACTACAGTTTTGAAGTCACTTAGAAAGGCATCTTAAGATATGCAGTAAAAAATGTAACAAAATTATTCCACTTATATTAATTGCATACCTTTAGGCACCTTTCTATTAAAAATCCCTAGTGATTTCTAAATTTTTTTTCTTTTTTGTTTGATAATTATTAATAAAATTTCGAACTTACGACATATTATCGAAAAATCGTATACAATTAACTACATGATTGAATACAAATTAGAATTTGTATTATAAAATAAAAATTAAATTTTTAACTGATTTATAATTATAGAATAAATTTTGAACTTACGACATATTATCGCCGCCGGTGTCGCCGACGCAACTGGTAACGCCCATGCCGCCGCCACGTCGCGGTCGACTCTTCCGCCGGCGACGCCGCCGTCGCTCCGAGGAAGCGGTACGCGTTTGCAGGACATGTTGGCTGAGCGACTTGTTGCAGCCGCCGCCGCTGCTGGCCAGCCGTCTTCCGGTGGCATTGGATCCGCCGCCAGCGGCGGCCAATCCCTGGACGGCGACCACCAGCTGGCCATCGCCAAAGCCGCCCGCCGAGCTAATCGTGTCGGTGGATTGGGGCGTGGCCGCTGCAGTGGCCCCACCAGCAGTGGCACCTGCCTCGCCACCCGGCGGCTGCTGTGGTTGCTGCGACTTGTTGGTGTTGCGCAAACTGTGGTTCACTTTTCGCCACATGCGCTCCATCTTAAAGAATCTCCTCGATTCCCTTTGGTGTGGAGTATTTTCAAAATGTGGTTGTTGAAACGTCTTTGTTAGCTTATCAGTTTTGACATTATTTCATTTTTTTAATATATTTTAAATAATTTTTAGTTAATCACACAGGTTTTGCATTTTACTAAATTATTTGCCCTGTGATTAATGAGAAATATAAATTGGCTGTTGAATAAATTTGTTAGCATATTACAGTAGTTATTACCATGATTTATATTTGTTAAAAATACACTTTTAAAATAGTAATTTGATATTTTTTTTTTTTTTGTTTAATGTTGTGGCATTTTTGTTATTGAAAAATGGCCAACAGGTTTCTTAATAATTTGTTCTTCTGAGTTGTTGTTAAAATTAGTTGTTGATTTATGCAAAAACCGTTTTTATTTTATTTATCATTATATGCCAAGTCCCAATAATTGTTATATAATTATATTTATTATTTTAAATTTGTGATCTTACGTGAACAAGATCAATAGTATAAATGATAGCCTTATTTAGTATAATGGTTTTGCTATAAATGCTGCCGTAAACTTTTGTTAATAACGGTATAAATTTATGGAAGCCGTAGATCTAACATTTATAAAAATTTGTGCTTTTTGGTTGTTCGAATAGTTAAGTGAGTTTTAGTTTTAGTATAAATTGCAATGCTTATGTACACTTTTAGTTGTGGAACTAACAAATAGATTAAAAGGTTATGATTTTTGTTAGCATTAGAATGTCATACAATTTTGGAATAGCAGGATGATTTTTTGGTATGTTTCAGCATTTGTATGGAAGTTTTTAGTATTATAACATCTAGAGTTGTTAACCTTTTCGTTGTTGCAGTTGTTGTTGGTTTTTAATCATTATTGTTGTAATTTTTGTAGTTTAAAGTTGTTTCTCATATTAGTTGTCATAGTTTTCGATTGGTGTTGTTGTTAGTTGTTGTATGTAAGTTGTTACCGAAAAGTTTGGCTGTAGTTTTATGTTGTTGCTGTGAGTTGTTTGTTGTTCCTTTAGTTTGTTGTTAAAGTTTTATATCCGTTTTTGGTTATCCTTTTTCCTATGGGAAATTGAAGCTAGCTACGAGGGATGGGTGCTCCCTTTCTTTTCTTTTTGGCCACACACCTTCGTCTTGTGCTTTTTTCTTCCGGTTTTCCGGCCTTCGGGTTTTCTTCCTCTTAACTATTGTTGTTAACTTATTGTTTGTTGGCGGCAGTGTTTGGTTGTTGTTCGATTGGCTTTCATCTGATTTACCTTGGATCTCACATCTCTCACACATTTATGTACACAAAAGGACACTCGTTCGATTATACAAAAAAAGCTACTCAGCAGGAACTATGCATTGTTTTTGTTGTTGGTTTTGTTGTTGTTGTTATTTCGATTGTTGCTGTAGTGGTTGTTGTTGATATTTCGATTGTTGTTGTTGTTGTTGGCTGCGGATAGCGGAAGTGAAAAACAAAGAGCATGAAATTGAGTGTAAGACTCCTCCACATCTGTGTATGTGTATATTTGAGTTCCCGATTGTATGTAATTGTGTGGGTGAGTGGCCTGCACTTTTAGGTTAAGCACGCGCTTCACTCATTTTTTTTTGTTGTATTTGTTTTATTTGTTGCCTAAGCCGCTCTATTTCTGTGCCTTTGTTGCTGTTGTTGTTTTCACATTGCACTTGTGAATGAATGACGAATTTTTTTCCACCATCACTCGCTCATCACTCTCTCTCTCTCTCTATCCCACTCTCTCCTTCTTTTGCTTACACTCACAAGAGATTTTTCCCGTTATCAGAACACTTTGTGGGACTTTTTTTTTAAAGCACTTTTTTTCATTATTATTATCTACTCTTTGCACACAATTTGTGCAATTTAGCGTTAGTTATTTGCCAAATACACTTATTAAGTGCTGCGAATTCCACAACTACAACGCAGTTGTTGTCTCGTTGTCAGGTTGTTGCTGTTGCTTTTGTTGTTGTTAGCGCCTGGCTGGCTGCTGGCACGTTGAGTCAACATCATTTTAGTTCACCCGAAAAAAAAGCCAAAAAATATAACAGGGCCACTGTCTCTTTGCACGGTGGGACACATGGGTTTTACTTTCAACGTCGATATTTTTAATGTCGAAACATAAAATAAATTAATTTATATATTTTAGGAAAGCTACGACCTATTATAAAAACGCGAACGTATATATTTTAAATGGATTTAAATAGATAAATCTATTTAAACGTAACTATATGTTATAGACATTTCTATTAAGGAAAACGGAAAGAGCCAATTAAGTTATTGTTTGGAACAATAAAAAATAGGAGCAAAAAAATAACATTTAAATTGTGTCTTAATTTCCAGATGTTTTCAGATTTCAAGTGATATATTTCATAATAAAAGCTTAAGTTTGTGGTGACCAAAAATGTACATCGAATGCCCACTGTACAAGCCAGAGAGCGAGAAAACAGGATAGCGGAAGAGCTGGGAGAGTGCGCTCTTGCCGCTAAGAATGTCGATGTATTTGTGCGTGGGCGCAAGCCAAGTTACGGTATCCAGTCCCGTGGCCGTATATGTGCGACCGTATTCGTAGCCGTGTCCTGTGTATAACACAAACACATTGCGCTGCAGAGGAATCCAGAGAGAGAGAGAGAGAGAGAGAGATAGAGAGTGCCTGCTTAACCGTTTTGAAACATTTTGTTGCCTATTTTTTGGGGCCAGCACACAAACACACACAAGCAATTGAAGTAAATTTAAATACCGGTTAAAAACGGACGAACACACTGGTTAATTGGCTAGCTGTTAACGATTAAGGGTCAATCGGAATCCACAGGAATTCAAAGGAATCCACAATTTTTTATCACACGAGAGCAGAGCAGAAGCCGCTGCCCGTTTATTGGCAACGCGCACGCACAAATAACGGAGCCACTGTGGCGAAAGCAGCGGTGAAAGCAGCAGCGGCTGTGAAAGCAGCGACGCCGGACGTAGCAGCAGCAGCAGCCGTAGCAGCTGAGAGCCGAGGACACGAAGCCCTAGCCAAGAAAGGATTCGCATCCGAAGTGTGTGGGTGCAGGTCGTTAAAATGTAAACATTGGTGGCAACTTGCCGGACTGAAAGAGAGCGAAGAAACCAGAAATACAGAGAATGAGAGAGAACTCTCTCGCAGGCTTATTGCGCAGCAGAGCGACATCTGTTGTGCATTTTCCGCAATAGAAGAACAGTTTTTATCGATAAATCGTTGGTAGAAACAAGTAACAGAGAAAATAAGATACAAATTTCAAAAAAAGCTGTGGAGATCAGGTGAAAAATGAAATCAAACAATACGCATTCCCAACAATAATCAACTTTGATAAAAACAGGACAAAAGAAAACATAATAAGTTGGCCTAAAGTCAAGTTTTACCGAACCGCGAATTCTTCAACCTGGACAAACAACCAACAGAGAACGCTTTGGTAGTAGTATCATAGATGGACAACAATACAGAAATGTCAGATAGAAAACTAATTTTTAATAAGTTAAAAGTTCTTTGGCTTACCATATGGCATACTCTATCGATGCATTGCCGGAATCACCAACAGATGGCACTTTGGTAGTATCCACTAGCCCACACGAAATACAACACATGAAATACCATTATTTGGTAAAACAATCGAAGAGCAGCTAAACTTTAAGCTGTAGCTTACAAAAAATTAAATCCAAAAACCAAATAAAGCGATTTTGATATGGACGTCATACCAAAACCAAAATACAACCAACAAACATAAATATTGGCATAAGAAAATCAAAATCAAAGTGTTATTTACATAAGCCTTTTTTTTTGGTTAAAGCAAAAGCAAACAAAATTATTTTGGGCTTTTTGTGTTGAGGAAGCATTGCTTGATTTTGCATAAATTTGAATAATTTATAGTGAACTAAAAAGCATAATAGGGCGTGGACAATAGCTCATAAATAAAATTTAGCCGAAATAAGAAAAAAACCAAAAAAATAAATAACAATCACACACACACTTTGAAAAATTAAACCCACAACATTTGTGAAGCAATTAATTTGCACAAGAATTCATCAACGGTGCGGAAATTTGAATCTGCCAGTTGAGATGATCACCTGTCGCAGGAGGAACAAGTTCTCATTGTTCTGGCGATTTGAAAGGCGTCTCCAATAAGTTATGTCTCCGACACGCATTGTTCGAGCATCTCGGGTAAATATCAATGATAATGGCAGCCAAATGTCTAGACAATTAAACGGTCCCCGCAAAAATTTGCATCCGTATACGTTCTTTTTGGCCAGATTTATTGATCTACTTCCAAGATTCTGGGCGGCACGAGTATATAAGATCACCGTAACGACCAACAGACCAACACAAATCATCCAGCCTTCAAGCTAGACTAACAAAAAAAAACAGAACCAACTTAGAAAAATGAAGGTGAGTGAAACTGAAAAGGATACAGGATAAAGGATACCCAGTTTATTACCAAAGTGTGAAAACAAACATACTAGTTTTTTCTCTTTTTTTTGTGTGCCAACAAATATACCTTAAAGTTTAAAAAAGTGTGAATAAAAAAGTATGAAGCAATATTTAACACAACAGTGATATTTTTTTTTTTGGGCCTTGATCGCTCGTACCAAAACTACAAGTGTTGTTCCACAGATTTCAAAATTATAAAAAAGCTCCTATAGAACCCCATTAAAAATGTTCAACAAATGTTAGTAAATCGATAAGTAATTTACTCTGGGAAAATTATTAAAAGTATTTCCATTATAAGTGCTTCAAAACTTTTTCAAAATTACACAGCTTTTTGTACGATTTCAAATTTAAATTTTAAATAAATAAATCATATGGATAGTAATCTTAAACCTACTTTAGGCTAAAAATGCGGGCTTTAAAACGTGCCAAACAGGATAAAATTATTAAAAAGCAAAACACGTTTGTTGTAACATTATCTACACAGATATACAAAATTACATAAGTCTGTCAAGTCACTCTGCGCTATGGTAAGGGTCAGTTATAAAGCAATACATTTTTAACGGTCAATATCTATCGACTTCTAGAAAAATTTGCAAATCTAACCATTATTTTAGAAGTTATTAGCAGAAATGTTAGTTTTTGGATATTTGATAGTACAAAGTGCTTGACTTAGGCAGATGGCGCCACCTAAAACCCACTAGTTTTCTTGATTAATATCTTATAGTCGGGACTAGTTATGCACCGTGAGATACCAAAAACTGATATTCTTATTAATGATAATATTCACCCCTTTCCAGTTCTTCATCGTCAGCCTCCTGATCGCCGCCTGCGTGGCCCTCGCCCAGAGCAGCGTTATCCACGGATCTGCCCTCGGCTACGCCCCCGTGTCCACCATTCCGGTTGTCCGCACGGTGCCCGTGGTGCGCAGTGTGCCAGTGGTCCGTCATGTGCCGGTGGTGCGCAACGTTCCGGTTGTGCGCCATGTGCCCATTGTCGACTCCGTCCAGGTGGTGCAGCCCTCCGTGTACCGCGTCGGTCATGCCGCCGTCTACGATGCTCCCCTCATCCAATCCTACGGCGGCTGGTTGAAGCAGAAGTAGATGGATAACTACCTTTCTCTATGCATAACACAAACTGAATAAAAGAAAAGAAAATAACTAAAGCAATGTCTTGTTAATTCAAATAGTTTTGATCTTACTAAAAGTACACCGAAAAAAAAATTGTCAGAAACAAAACTATTGTATTAAATTAATACCTCGAAAGTATTTAAACAAAACCTGTGTGGTTTAAAAATAAAGTTTAGGCTTTTCGGTATAGAATTGAAACTAAAATGTAAAGTAAAGGTTGTGTTATTAAGTTCTATGTTTAAGACAAACTTTAAGTTTTTGATTTTTAATATATTACAGTTAATAGATTTATACCAGTTCGATTATTACCTCTAGTAAACAAATTTTTTTTAAGTTGTTAGTCTGAAAAACTATAAGATAATGCCGTTGAACAATTACTCAATATGTTACATTTTGAAGCACTATATTATAAGCTTGAGACTACAGTAAAACTTCAGCCAACTTAAGCTAATATAAGGGCAATAAATTGGGAAAAATAATTTATTTGATGTCTCTATAAGCGATTAATTAAAGGTTGAAAGTGAAATGATTAATTAACTAAGGAAGGTTAACAAAAAATGATTCATAAAAGCAGAGCTGAGCATTTTATTAATAGTAACAAGCTATTAATATTTATGAAAGCTAGTTTCCAAACATAAAATGAAAATTGCAATGGAAACTTGAGGGAAACTTGTTTCGAGATTGAAGAGCCACTAATATATTCACCGACTGTTGCATTCCATGCATAGATCAATTAACAAGCCATAATAAACCGAGACAAGATCATAATCACGATTAGTGCAAGGTTTAGGTTTGGCAATCTTTGATTTCCCACACTTTTAGGGCAGGTAAACTGCTCTGCCCACCGAAATCAGTGGTTAATTTGGGTACAGTTTTAATACAATTTTTGTAAGCTATATAAGCTAGCCAAGGTACACCGAAATACATATTTAATGAGAAAACGTACAAACATCTGCCCTAAAAACAAAACTAACTTGGCAAAAAAAGCATATATAATTTTAAAAAATACGTTTCAGAACTTATAAACACATGTGTATTGATTATATTAATTATTCTAAATATTTATATTAATCATTTTAAATATTTATATTAATCAGCTATTTTAAATATTAAGATTTGAATGTTAAAGCATAAATATAAGTACAAGTTAATACATACTATAAAAAATAAAACAATTTTGTAAAACCTTATCGGTTTCGGACTTGGTATTACATTTTTGACAACTGATTGATCTATTGTTTAAATTTGGAAAATACTTAGAAAGTATTTAGAGTGTGCCTTGTGCGGCCGTCATCACTGAACTGCCCCGTTGGCCAATTTACAACGTCTTATGCTTATTGGGCCGACATAATGCGTTTTACATGGCCCAAAACGATGCGACTTGGGGGACTTGCATAATCCACCTTATACCTTTTAGCTGGCCCTCATCAATGACGAGCAGCCAGTTGACAACAGATTCCGATTCACCTTGAAATCGCCGGATAAGTTGGGTTGGGTTGGGTTCGATTAGGTTTTCGCTTTGGTTTATGACAGACTGCCGGCCGCCTGATGAAGCAACCAAAAACGCCGCAGCGCTCGTGTATGCAAATGACATCAAAATACAAGAAACAAATACATTAAAGACGAAAATGAAAACGAAAACGTAAAACCTACCCAAAGACCTAAACCTAAACCTAAAACATAAGAGCGCAGCTAAAAAACAAGAAGAAACCCCTATTTGATACCCTTTGCGAAGCTTGTACATTTTAAAATAAATATGCCCCCAGAAAACATTTGGGGTTTAGGTGGCGCCATCTGCCGAACTGAAGCACCTCTTATTTTCAAATACCCAACAATTAATATTTTTGCTTAAATAATGGTTCGATTTGGCTAATTTTGCATGAGTATAGATAGATACATAGATATTAAACGAATAAGCGCTTTCAACTTAATAACTAGCCTCTACCATTAGTCAGAGTGACATAACAGGAAATGAAATTAACTTGCGCTGCGTCGGCATAACCAGAATTTGCTTGTCAAATCCCAAATCTCTGTGTTTTATAGGTTGCGGTTTATATAGTTTTATATGAACAGAAGAACGGACTGGATCAATAATATATATACGTTATAGGGTCGAAAACGCTTTCTTCTACCTGTAACTTACTTTTCAACTGAAACAATATACCCTTTTACTCTACAAGTAAGGGGTAGAAATATGAAAGCCGCATTTGGCTTATCACTAGCAGAGCGCGTCTCATTTTCATGCTAATTGTGGGAGCCCCATCTCTATACGGAATTTCGGAAATGCAGCAGGCGAAGACTTGACGAAACTAAAAACCGGATGATAACTGGCAAACTGAAAAAGAAACCAAAATATATAATATTCCGAAATTCCGATTCCGAAACCGAAGCCGAAATGGCAATAGAAGAACTTCGTTGGGTGCGCCCAGCATTGGGTGAAAATGAAAACGAAAGCCCATCATCATGATGATGTTGATGATGATGATGATGAGATGACGATGGGGATGGGTGGTTTGAAAATGTTAATGAAACGTCTTTTGTTCGCCAATGATGGCTTGCATTGTATAAAAGACTAGGTCTCCGATCGATCGGACATCAGTCGCTGCTCATCGGCAAGTCAAGGCGTTTTTTTTTTGGAATTGGTATCATCGCATCAAGTGGATTTGTAGTCAGCATGAAGGTGAGCTGCCCAAAATATCCTGTGCACAAAATAACTAAAACCAAACAAAACTAAAAAGAAGTGCAAAAACACGCTGAAGGAAATATCAAAGCTTGTGATAAAGTTTAAAACTTATTCTGGAATATTTGTTTTTTAAAACAAAATGTTAAAAGTGAACATTTTTTTTTTTGTGATAAAATTGAAAATTTTTTTTTTTTTTGGCTTAAAACAATAAAACTACATTTCCTTTGTTTATAAAAAAAAAATTCTTTTTTTTTGTGACAAATTTGAAAAATTGCATATTAAGTGACAAAAACAACATGTTTCTTAAATAATATCATAATATATCATATCAAGTAGGAACTAAATTAAATCCTTAATTTTGCACATAAATTAAACTATTTTAATATTAAATCATGCAATTTCGTATGCTTTGTATTTAATATTGTGATTAATATTTAATTTAAATACGAATCATAAAGTTTTAAATTCAATAGTCAGATATTTATTTTTACTCCTTAGAGTTTTAGACTTTTCGGTATATAAATCAAACTATATTATTTAAATATATAATATTAAATTATATTATTAAGAATTGTAATACTAATGCTTATGCTTATGCATTTTTTGATATTTTGCATTCTTTTATTAATATTATTATTACCTTTTTGCATTTGCAGGTCTTCGTTTGCATGTGTGCTCTGTTCGCTGTGGCCAACGCCGGCTTCCTGGGTCTCCTTGGAGGAGGAGGAGGAGGCGGTGGTGGTGGTGGTGGTGGCGGTGGAGCTAGCCTGAAGGCTGGTATTAGCCTGGGCGGCAATGGAGGAGGAGGTGGCCATGGAGGCGGCGGCGGTGGCTATCACGGCGGTCATGGCTCCAGTGGCCCAGTGCAGGTGGTCAAGGTGATCCACCAGCAGGGCTCCTCCTCCTCCGGTGGTTATGGCGGTGGCTACTCCTCCGGTGGCTATGGCGGTGGCTATGCCTACGAAGCTGCTCCCCAGGTCTTCAAGGTGAAGGTCATCTCTGGCGGCAGCAGTGGACATGGACACGGACATGGACATGGTCCCGCCCCCGTCTACCTGCCCCCCTCTGGCCCCGCCCCCTCATCCGTGAAGGTCATCAAGATCCTGCAGGAGGAATCGGCTCCCATTGTGAGTGCCCCTGGACCCGCGTTCATTGGTGGCTCTTCATCTGGTGGCGCCGTCACCCAGGTCATCAAGGTGGTGCACGAGAGCCAGGGTGGTTACTCTTCCGGCGGCTATGGTGGTGGCTACTCCTCGGGCGGCTATGGCGGTGGCTACTCCTCGGGCGGAGCCACCAAGGTGGTGCGCGTGATCCATGAGCATTCGGCTTCGTCTGCCGGAAATGCCTATGCCCCCATTGATCTGCCCGGTCCAGTGGCTGCTCCAGTGGCTTCTTACCAGGAGATCGCTGCCCCAGCGCCGGTTTATGCCGCTCCTGCTCCTGCCCCAGTTTATGCTGCCCCCGCACCCGCACCCGCTCCCGTGTACTCCGCTCCTGCTCCAGCTCCAGCTCCGGTTTATGCCGCCCCGGCTCCAGTTTATTCCGCTCCTGCTCCGGCTCCAGCTCCAGTTTATGCTGCTCCCGCTCCCGTGTACTCCGCTCCTGCACCAGCCCCAGTTTATGCCGCCCCAGCACCCGCTCCCGTGTACTCCGCTCCTGCTCCTGCTCCCGCTCCCATATATGCCGCCCCAGCACCGGCGCCCGTCCTGAGCCTGCCCCATGCCGCTCCTGCTCCGGTTTTCGCACCCGAGGAGCAGTCCCTGCCCATCGGCCACGCCCCCGCCCAGACCTACGGCCCACCGGGATACTAGGACAGCAGTCATCCATCTGTTTTAGAGGACCTTCCTGCGCCAACTACATCGACAGCACACTACCATTCCTAAACAACGCCATGAAACTTAATTTAAGACATTTTTTTTACCACACATTTTTTTGTTAGAAATTATAAAAGAGAAAAAAAAAACTAAATCGTTTGTTTTAATTTAAAAGAAAATTTTTTGTTTACTAACTTTACTATCTATCCCCAGGCGATTTGGAAAATTTTTGAAAAATTAATTTGATGACCACTTTTTGCATATTAATAAGGGGTTACATCCAAATTTTTTGCTAAAAATTAAGCATCGTGGCCGTGAGTGCCATTCTTTTGCAAATTTGATAACGAATTTATCCGATTTTTGGGAATTACTTCCCAGCTTTTTAAAACACTTCTTTAAGTGTTTTTTAAAATTTTGTGAGATAAAAAAACATTCATGAGTTCTATCTATTTCATGAGATAAAAAAAAATTCATGAATTCTACAACATTTAAAAAAATTAAACAATAAACAAATTAAAATCAGCACAAATGTTATAAAAATATGTATATTACTCGATTAAATCTGAATCAGATTTAAGTAACTTCAAATTACAACAAAGTTTGATCTTCACAGCGTTGCTTTATTTTTAAACATTAAAAAAAAAACATAGATCTTTAACGTCAATTTCTTTTTGTATCACTATTTTATGAGAACATTTTTAAAAGTGCTCTATCGATTTCATTTTCAGCTTTATAACTGCCCTTTTTGTTATTTAGATTAATAAATTAATTAATTAAATATAAGTCAATTAGCAAGTATTTTTTATGAAGGTTTTAGGCTTGATAATGCTTAATAAAACCTAAGTCAAATATTTTATAGAGGATGACAAAGGGAGTATGAAAAAAAAACAATTTTTTTTTCTAAATCACAAAATAAATTTGTTAACTAATTTAACAATGTTACTATTAGCAAAAAGAAAGTATGATCTCACCAGATATAAAGGAAATTTTAGGTCTTATCAACTGTGGAATTTGCATAAATGGTCAAGAGAAAAAAAAACCAAACTATAGGTGTCTCTTTCTTTTTGAGCATTCCACCAGCCAGAAATGCAAATAACTCATATTTGAGTTCAATATTGCCAAGACATTATCATATCGACAGTCCCAGAGTGAGAAATATTACACATTTCTCCTCAACGGTTCACAAATATTATAAATTATAAACGCACAATTTGGCAGCGAAATAGAAACAGAAAACATATGGACAAAAATCGTTTGATGTTTGCTGGTGGATCACCGGTCATTAATACGATATTATGATTCGCTTTTTTTATTGTTTCATAACGCTCTGGCTTTTTAAGGGGATCGTTATGTTTTATTAATTTCAGACACAAAGCATCGATTGTGGTTTATTATTGGTGGCGGTAGTGTGGTGATTACGTCTATTCGGCAGCCTTTACTAACGCTTCGGCGACCTCCACGGCGATGGCAGCCTGTGCCTTGGCCTGTAAAACAAGTGCGAAAAAGGTTTTCATTAAGAAATCAATTTAAAGCAACCAATTACAATATTCCTTACATAGCTTTAATGAAAAAATGTGCAAATATCTATATTCTGCAGTAATATTTGTTTTTTAAACTCAATTTTAACTAACAAAATCCTATGTTATCTATAATAGCATTATGTTTCTATTTAAAGATAGTCGCTTACAAACATATATAAATTGTTTTCAAAATTAATTAAGAACGGGAAAAGGAACTTTTACTAAATTATTAATAAAGTGAAAGTGAAATTATAGTTGTAGTAAACTTATAAAGCTTACATAAAACTGAAGAAATTTGTTTACTAAGAGTTGCAGTTATAGATTTTGGAATGTGTATTTTTTTTAGCTAAATTGGTATTACTTTTACATAAACTGATTGCAATCAAAACAAATAGTTATCTAATTGACTTGTAAAATACAACAAATTCGAAAGAAAAGAATATTCTTCGATGTTTAAATTTAGAAAAATGGTTACCAATCATATTGTAGACCACATTTTTTCGTATATTAATGCTTATATATTTATTAATTTAAAAAAAAGAACTATAAGAAAAGGGTCCAAATCAAAAAAATTGGTCTTAAATTTGGTAATTTATGCAGATAAATGTCTGAACAAATGGGGACTTCTGTAGATAACTTTAAAGAACCTACGCTACATACACTGTAGGAAAGATCACAAATTGTGCCTCAAAATTGGTAGGCTCATCTAAACTTCTAGTTTATACAACATGTCCAGCTCACAAATTACGCCCAAAACTAGGTTGAATTTGTAGGCAAATGTTTAAGTGATGGTTATAGTTACAGATTCATAACTTGACGATGTTCTAGTTATAACTTTTTAAGCTTCTTCTTTACATAAATCGTTAAAAGGGTGTCTAGATCACAAATTGTGAAAAGTAATGGCTGTAGCTATAGATTCTGGACTTGTTGAGCAGCTAGCATCTAGTTTATATAACTTTCTAAACAAATAAGCACTTTATCGTCACCAGCGAAGGTGAGCTGAAGTCCAATTGATTCCATTTTACAGAATGTGTTAAAGGGATGTCCAGATGTACAAGTTATGGTAATAGTTACAGATGTTGGACTTGGCGATGTTTTAAAGACATGTTTTTAAGAATCCCCTTCACATAAATTGTGAAAAAGGTGTCTAGATCACAAATTGTGTCTTAAAACTGCTTGGCAAATGGACAACTGATGTCTGTAGCTTTACATTCTAAATATGCTGAGCACCTAGCTGCTAGTTTATATAACTTTCTAAACAAATGCGCACCTTATCGTCGCCAGCGGAGCTGAGCTGTGACTGGTATTTCGCGAGCAGCTGGCGGGCCTCGTTGACATCGATGTCCTCGACGTTGTGGGCCTCCTCGGCCAGAACCTGGACGGAGGAGTCATCGTTGACGGTGACAGAGCCGCTGGACACGAAGAACTTGATGAGTTTGCCATCGTTTTCCAAGACCTGGACGACACCGGGCTTCAGGACAGCTGTGGCGAAAAACAGGTGATGGCCAGGTGATATAATCAGATGCAGACGCATATAATCAACGACTCACCCAAAGTGGGCACGTGCTTGGCCAGGATGCCGAAGGATCCGGAGAAGGAGGGCACATCGATTTGGCGCACCACGGCGGCATCGTAGAAGGTCTTGTTGGCGGCGGCGAAGGTCAGCTTCATTTCATCCGAATAGCTGCGGTTTTGGGCCAAACGCGCTCCTCGGGCGGCCAGCAAACGAGCGTTCTTCACCATGGACATTCTGGACTGCAAAGAGTGTATCAAATTCTCAATTTAAATTCAGTTTCCACGGGATCGGCCAGCATAACAACAAAATAACCAAATTATGTAACTTTGTAGGTTAGGCGGCCGCGGCTGGTATTTGCTTTTTCTCTAGCCAAATGTTATGGATTTTGTTGGCCAATCCTTGTTAACGCTGACCATTAAGTGTCCTCAATTTATTTCTTATTTTCACCTTTTTCTAGATCGTTTTAATAGCGAAAAACACGAGAAAACTTCAACTAAACTGCCGCTGTTTTTGCGAAAAGTTCCAACCAGAGTGACCAGCCGAGGAATACAGGGACTAACCTATAATAACGCCTTTTTACAAAATCATGCTGCTATAAAATACTAAATTATTAATTAGCTTAGTATACATGTTTAAAATTAATGTACAAGTAATTTAAACAATTTAAATAAGAAGTCAGTTTAGAACACTTTTTTTATTTAATGGATGTAATAATATATTAAATATTTCACAGCATGGTCACTCAAATGGCCTACTAAAATTCAACAGTCTGGCAGCACTCTCCTCATTTTAAAGCGGGGCTGAAATTATTTAATTAATTTAATTTTTAAATTATATTATTAAAATAAATAATAATAATAATAAAAATAAATAAATTATAAATATTAAAGTTATAACGATACGAATAGTATTAACATATATAGTGTGAGTTTTATGTTCCTAAGTGAGTCAAAAGTAATTTTTGCAAGAATAGAAATGTAAAGATTTGTGAAATAAATGTATTAAATTATTAATATAACCAAAACTATTATATATATACGTTTTTAATATTTGACCAAACTTATGTTTTTCCATTTGCCGCCCAAATTTTGAAACTCCAATTTCCGATTGTTTTTATCGTGACTTGTCGAACGCCGTCTGGTTACACTGTCGTTGGCCCAGCACAACACAACAACAAATTCCAATTGAAAATAGAAACGAAACAATGCAGATAGCTGCATTATACAAGTGAAGAAGAAGAGAGTGCCATTTTCGGCTACTATTTTTTTGCCCGTCTCTGTGTCTGTGTGTGTGTGTGCGTCGTCTCTGTAGATCAAGAAACAGGGAAAGGCAACAAGCTAACAAACAAACAAACAACACACAGGACGTAAGTGTTTGCAACATTTACCCAAATCTGTCACCCACTCTTTCCCTCTCTGTCGCACCTGCAGGCCAACGCAGTTGCAAAAACAACAGTTTTTTCCCCATGTGTGTGTGTATAGATGGCTGTTATTTTTTCTGCTGATTTTCTATTTTGTTTTGTTGTTTTATTCTACATTGCCAATATGTGTGTGTGGGAGTCTAAACAAATTGCGCCTTTTGGTTGGAAAAACTTCAATAAAAGAAAAGAATACGAAAGCTTGTTTTAAAGTTCATTCCTCACACGCACACAGCTGTTTTTGTTGTGGAAAAAGGAGAGGAAGAGAAAAAGCAGAGAAGGATTTTCAGCTTCTTTGTTTGTTGCACACAAGCAGCTGTAGCGCGCATGAGTGTGTGTATATGTGTATTTTTATTTTTGTTTACCTCTCTCCCTCTCCTTCTTGCCCTCTCTCCCTCGATTGGTCCCCCTCTTTCTCGCGCTCTGCAACGCAATAAATTTCTTGTTATTTTCTGATAAGAAAAGCAACCGCAATCGGTCTATATGTTTATATATATAACTGATCCGTAGCTATTGACCCCAAGCGTCAGTGCGAGCGAAATGGCAATAACTGAAGTAAGCAGCGGCAAAAAAACCAACAACAACAAAAATTCAGCTCGGTCGTTGCTCCTCTTCTTCTTGGTCTTCATCTTGTGCTTCTTCTTTGTTTTTGTTGAGTGCTATTTTTTCGTTAGGAAATGTCGAAAACTTGATACCCTGTTTTTGGATTTGAATAATATCGAGCTTAGTTCATATTCAATAATACAAATTTTAGTAAAGGGTATGATAAAAAAATTTAGCTTAGATTTTTTTTTAAGAATACAACAGCTTTAAAAACAACTGTGGATATTTTTTGTAACATGCCATTAATAGAACCCAAAACATCCATCGAATATCCTGCATTCTGAACAAGTGAAAACAAAAACAACAAGCAGGGAAGAAAAACGACGCAAAAGAAAGAGAAGAAGCCGCAGACGAAGAACAAACAGTAAACAATAATCGGTCGCAAATGAAGTTCAGCGATTGCCGCAAATTATAATTGCCTGGCCGCAATTAATGCGTATCTGTCCACCTAACAAAAAAAGAAACAGCTGATTTTTCAGATGTTTTTGTTTGTTCTTGTAGATTTGTTGCAAGCGCGGCACCGTTAGCTTTGTTGTTGCTTTCAACACGCGACGTCGCAGTCGGCGTCACTGCCAACGCTGACACACAATCATGATACCGTTACACGGCTGACGCTTGTTGCTGTTGTTGTTGTTTTTGTCTTAGCCACCACTTTTGTCACGCACAATGACGGCCACAAAAGTGTTAACACAAAACTCATTATTATTTTAATTATATATTTTTTATTCTTCCAATATAGTGGCATTTACAATATTGGGGGTTCACTACACTTTAAGTCAAACAAGTTGTTTTTAATTGGTGCTTAAGTCTGCTGTTCACCACTGTGCCACGCACATTTAGTTGTAAGAAAATGGCAAAAGTCACTTTGTTGTTGCTGCCCACATTTAAAGCCAGGATTGGAAAGAGATGGCGATAGACAGACCAAGTGCAATAACAAGAATACGGTATGCATTTCTAACAGCAACTGCACTCACCTTGCGCCCACATCCCCCTCTCCCCCTTCGTCTCGTTATGCTCGTCTTGATTGCAACTGTAAATTGCACGTAATTTGTTTGTTCATTGAGCACGCATTATGCGTTGCTCCAATTGTTGTTTTCTTGAGTATTATTTTATATTTGTTTTTTTTTTTCATTATTATTTTTGTCCTTTATCGCAGCTCGCTGCCACCTGCTGCGTAGCAACCGACGCCGCTGCTTGCGCCGGCAGCGCTGCCCTGCCTCCGATTTTTTTGTTTGTATTTTTTTGTACCAAAAGCAGCGTCATTTGCCATCCGCATTTCGCGCTGCGCGCTTTGCTTTTCGCTCCGCTCGTCCGCTTTGTGTTGCGAAGCAGAAACGCAAAAGAGATAAACAGAATAGAAAAATAAAGGTGCAAAAAATTAATAGAAATCCGTTTGGCAGAATAATTGCAAAAGCGAGCCGTAGAAATTGCCAAGTGAGTGAGATATCTTGTGAATTTAATTTTTTTTTGTGGTTCAGTGAACTTGTTATTTTTATGAAGTTGAATTAATTAAGTTGCGCCCGGCGAAAATGCTAATTAATTAACCAATTTGAAAGAAGGGCGCAATTTGGAGTTCTTTGTTGTCTGCGTTTCGAGTGCATTTCCCTTTTGCGCTCTTCCTCACCCAACCCCCTCCCTCTTCGGTCCGCTCTTTGTTCTGCTTGTTCGCTCCTTTTGCATTTTCTTTGTTCGAGCCAGCGACGCAGGCAGCTCAGTCGACGTCGCAGCCGACGCCGGCAGAGGCAGCCAATTTGCATTTGCAGATAAAGGAGTGTGTGACGGAGGGGGCTGGTTAAAGGAGTGTTTGGAGGCAGGCGGTGGATAGAGGATAGTGTGCAGCAAGGGGGCGGGGCTTAAATGTACAGTGCAAATTACCTCTAATTTTGTAAAGAAAAAAATATACAGCACAGGATAAAAAACTAGAGAGTATATGCGAAAATTGTTCAAGTTTTATTGTTATATTATTAATTTTTTTATTTTCATTTGTTGTTTTTTGGTATAAATTATTATATTTTCTTTAGTGTAAAGAAAATGTGATCAAATTATTTTAAAAAAAGTTTTCGTTTTGGAAAGAATATTATTGAAATATTAAAATTATCATACAATGTGTACTAGGACTTGTATCTAATTTACCAGCAATTCCGGTAAAACGACTTTTTCCTTATAGATACCAATTATAGAGAGCCAGACACATTTTCAGAACTCCACTGTGACGCCCACTTATAAATACCCTCCACACAGGTAAAGGCGTATCTACATGTTTAATCGGTCATCGTCTGCGTCCGACTTCCTCATACCAAAACACCTATATTCCGCTTATCAATGGGTAAACATCGGCGCGGTCAGTGAATAACAATTAACGACTTTGGCAGGAGTTAGAAGGAACAAAGCAACAATCGCCAGCACATCTGGAATGAATAATAGATGCCAATTGGCATTATTCATGCGCATCCATTCATGGGGCGCCCGAGATCTGTCCCATTTAAATGAAGGCCCTACCTGGGCTCCAAATCATCGGGGGACTCACTCACTCACTTCTGGGTTCGTTGTTTACTGCAAAGCGCTGCTACACGCCCATTAATCATTTAGCACCCGAAGGCGCTAATAGGAAGAGACTTCTCTGCGAAAGAGATCTCTTTTTTTTCTTGGGTCTGAGAAACCCATCCAACCTCGTAGATGCAGAATTCTGGTCGACTTTGCCAACCATGTGCAACTTTTGATATCCATTAATCCATAAGGCAAAGGGGTATGTTGTGTTTAATAAGCGATGGTTTTGTAAAAAATATTTTGTCAATACAAACATTGATTTCTTGGGATCGATTCAAGGCTATTAAAAACCATATAATAATAACTTAAATATTTCAAGATAGGTTTCTATCTTGAGGTTTGACTTTATATTTTCCTACTCACGTTTTAAAAATGTTTTTAAGTTATTTTTATATCTTAATTTTGACCTATCTTTCTTATTTTTAATCATATTAATATTATTTTTGGTATGCACTTATAGTTCTTGTATTTCTAATGTGGTACCAAATATCATCCAAAAATTCATGTTAATAACGCTGAAATCACAAAGATGTCTTGAGTTGACTGGTTGCCTTCGTGATCTTTACTTTAATGATGAAATTTCAAAGCCATCGTAAGTTTTTTTGGTCTTTGTACAGGGTAATATTTGTTTTGGTAAACCTAGGACTATATTTCGCCAGCATATTTTTGCTGCGCTTTGTTTGGCTTTGGGGGCGGCAATTATCCATGGGTTGTCGGTGCTTCGATGTGTGTGGCTGTGTAGGCTGCTCACTGGAATTACCAATGCCGCAGGCAAGGAGATTGCAAATGGAAATCAATAATGGAAAAGCCCCAACAATATCTACTAGCTCTCTCTCTCTCTCTCTCGCTCTCTCTGTTGCTCTGTTTTTCCTTGGCTTGAATTGAGCTTTTTGCATAACAGACAAACACATGTATTATTAATTTCGCCTTTTGTTTTTCACTTGCAGTTTTCTTTGGCAGGAAATCTGATATAGCCGGATCGGAATCGGATCGGAATCGGAATTGAAATCTGCTATACGGATTGAGAATCGTTACAGAATCATTGGAAGGAAGAGAAGAGAAGCGTCTGGCAAAAGTGACTGTGTAATTGCAGCAACAATCGTTCAATGACAGCAGTCGCGGCCGTTTTTACCGCTGCTGTTGCTGCTGCTGCCGCTGGCCACGCCCCCTTAGCCTCCTTCGCCCCCCGAAACGCCCCCTTTGCGGTGGAGAAAGCAGAGGAGCACAGTTAACAACGCCTCAGGGCGACGGAGACGGGACAATTTCGCTGTGGTCCTGGTCAAGGTAAGAGCTTAAATTTTTTTTGTTTTTTCCTGGAAAAGATAATTACAAAATCTAATTTCTTTAAAAAAAAACAAGGGATAGTAATGTGAGTAATGGTATGAAACTCGAATTTTGTACTTCATTATTTTGGCGGACTAGCTTTTTAGGAAATTTGAACTTTCAGTTTCAATAAGAGTTTTTTTCGACCTCTTTAAATATTCTAATAAAGGCAACCAGAAAATTGTTATCTGTATTCCCCTAAATACTTTAATTTTTTTTTAGTTTTTGAAGTTTTCTCAACTATGTTGATATTAAAAACCAAAGGAACTTTGTTTTTTTAAATTTAAATTAAAATTAATTGACATCAATATAATGTTTTACATTTTTTTTATTTTTAATTTTGCTTTTTGTATTTCAATCAAATGGAGTTAGGAAATTGTTTCGGATCACATTTATTTTTATATATGAAAGTTCTTAGGAAATTTGCTTAAAATTTTAAAAAGCATTTTTACAACCTCTTAAAATCTTCTAATATATATATAATTAAAATCTTCTTAATCCGGTATTCGTCTTAATACTCTACTTTTCTTTAGTTTCGGTAGTTTTTCTAATTATAGGGCAACGAAAATGGTTAAAAAAGTAAACTTTATATGATTTCACAGAAAAAAGTAATTTAACAAGCACCTGTTCAATATTTAAATTGAAGTAGTCAACACTAATAGTATGTCAGTTTCCAAGGATTTTATTGTTTTATTCAAAATTGATTAACAAATTACCCGTGTTCACCCTGTGATTTTATTTTGTTGAACCACCAATGAATTACATTGGGAAATTAAGATGCTGAAGCTTTAGTTTTGGATGTATTATAAACCTTTTAATTAATACGAGATTGTGAAGCCGGAGTGTGTAGCAGTGAAACAATGACTGATGAGTAAATTCCTGATTACAGAAAGAGGACCACTTAAGGACAGACAAGCAGAGGAGATTTGAAGTCTATAACTTTTCGTATATAGAGGAAGGCGGAAGCGAGGATATCAAGATCGAGATCGAGATCGAGATCAACGCCACACGATGGTGAAGACGTTTCAGGCCTACCTACCGTCCACGAATCGGACCTACTCATGTGTTCACTGCCGCGCCCACCTCGCCTCCCACGACGAGCTCATCTCGAAGTCGTTCCAGGGCAGCCAGGGACCGGCCTATCTGTTCAACTCGGTGGTGAACGTGGCCTGCGGCCAGACGGAGGAGCGGGTGCTCCTCACCGGCCTCCATGCGGTGGCGGACATCTACTGCGAGTGCTGCAAGACGCCGCTGGGCTGGAAGTACGAGCATGCCTACGAGTCCAGCCAGAAGTACAAGGAGGGCAAGTTCATCATCGAGCTGGCGCACATGATCAAGGAGAACGGATGGGACTGAAGGGACGGAAGCCACGACGTTGACTCTACGGCTGGCTGCGTCATGGGCGGCTAAATCAGGAGCACACACACACACATACCCGTTACAGGATCAGGAAAAACAGCAACAGCAGCGGCAGTAGCGGCGCCGGCGGGAAAAGCAGCGAGTTTTCACCACACAACAAAACAAAACATAACACGCGGCAAATATGACAGACATAGAGTGTTTACTAAAGTCTGCGGAAAAGTGTGAAAGAACGAAGAGAGGAACGAGGATAGAGGAATGATCGATATATATATGCTATATATATATATGCTATTATAAAGTGCATAACTCGTCGTATCTTATAGAACAAACAAACAAAAAAAAAACAAACCAATCAGACACACACACAGATACACACATCCACACATAAACGATCGAACGATAAACCCATTATATAGAAAGCTTGATTGGGCTTGATTGGGAAGGATCTCTGCGCTGGCCGCCATCTAGGATTTCCACACATTCATTTCGATTTCGATTACCATTAACCAGTATCCATTATTCATCACCACCTAACCATTTCAAGCACTTTGTTTTCCTTTTGACATTTGCGTTGCAAGTTGATTCGATTATGTGTACTTTCTATGCAGAGCCTTAATTCGATGATTTGATTTCAAACAAAACAACACAAAACTGGTGAGAGAGCCACACGCAAAACAGAACTTGCACTGCCAATAAACAAGAGAAATGTTTAGTAACCAATGATAAACAGTAGCAGGAAACATTTGAAAAAAAACAAGCATACACAAGGCATGCGAAATCAAAAATCAGGAAAACAAATTGATGACACTCATCACACAACACACCAACACACATACACATTTTCAACGTAGTAGTTATATTTAATAAAATAATTAAAATTAATTATTTAATGCAATTTAGCTTGAAACAAATGAAAACACACAAGCGAGATAAACTTAAACTACATTTTTGTCAATGTGTAAAGCGAAAAGAACAAAAAAAAAAAAAAACAAAGGCGGCAAAGGTGCGCATTCCCGCCGCCAGGTGGCGTCCAGAATGATGCACCGATGCACGGGGGGAAAAAGGGGGTGGGAAACGAAAGAAATGATATAAAATACAAGCATATGGCATGCATAACTTTAGAAAGAATATAAATATATATGTATCTATATATGTATATTTATTTATATGAGAGAAATGCGTATTTATGTCGCAAAATATCGTACATTAATCAAACGTAGGGAAAACTGAAGAAATATGCAAGGAAATGCAAGTGCATACAAAAAAAGCGATGGAGAAATAAAAAAGCTACGAACTAGCGAGCATATTTTTAAAGCAAAACGGATTATGAGAATATGTATATGCAAAAAAATAACTGCCAAGAACTATTCAAGTTAAATGATGTTCTCTAAGTAGTTATATATAAATGTATCTGAGGAATATATTTTGTGGTAGCATTAAAATAAACTAAAATAAAATGAGAAACAACCAGAAAACAAGAATACAACAACAGAGTTCAATAAAAAAAACAACAAAAACACGAAAAACAAAGAAATCAAATTCCTTTTGAAAACGAGTTACATTGAAATTGCTGAATACTTATTTTTGTCCTTAGTTTTCATCATCTTAAGCAATTGGCCGTACTTAACTCGATCTATATATCTTAAATATATATATATATATATATATATATATATATATATATATATATATATTTATTTATCTTTCCAACTTAAAACCTAGTTTTGTCGAAGCTTTGAGCTTTGTTCGACCATTTAGGCATTGACTACTGTACTCCATGCATGTGATGCACCATGAACGAAACACAAATTTTCAAAAACAAACGGAATTCATACAAAAACGAAAAAATCAACTGATGTTAGTATTTACATACATACAAACATGCCACTATACATACTTGCATACATACATACTAAAACGAGACCACCTTTACATTACAAAAACAAAAACAAAAAAAAAAAAAAGAATAAAAAAAAAAAGAAACAAACATTAAAACACATCCAAGTACAGTCAGCGACATGAAACCGCATGCAGCCGATTAAGATGTATTAAAATCTCAATTCAAGATTGCAATAAAGCGCATTTTTAGCTCAACTAACCAGTGTATTTTACAGTAAATGGATGGGTTCCTCTTAGTTATAAGACAGAGTCTTTAGTTTTAAGTTAATACAATTGTATATTTTGTGTAGCTTTGCAATTACAATTGTGGTTGTGTGAACTAAGACGATGTTTAAGGTTTGTTGTGTATATAATTGATTTCCAAGAGTATCGTTCATGTTTCTCTATTATGTGTTTTCAAGTATAATTCAATTTCAAATTCTGCATTTTAAATGGTTACGTCGATAACTAAGATTCATGTCAAACCGCAATGGTATGTGTTTGATATTGTGTTTTTAAAGGAACCAGCATTGCATGTGAAAACAATGATTTGGCAATCGATTGTGCTGTTGAAAGTGTTGTGTGTTGAGTGTGTGTTAATTGTGTGTTGATTGTGTGTTACTAGCTTCGTTTCTGTACACAGTGTGACGGCAAATCAGTGTAGCTGTGACTTCCATTTGTTTTCCTCGTAACACCATTTGGATGATATTCCGGTGATGGGATTCATCTGCAGCTGGATCATGCGGCGCAATTGGGCCGACCGCCGATCCTCGTCGAATGTATCCGGCAGTTGGCCGTACATTTTGGTCTTCAAGACCATGCTGATGCTCAGTCCAAGGGCCACGAGCCACAGAGCCACGCCCAGACAGATCTTCCATTCGGGCGTAAAGTGCTGGAACTCCACGAAGGTCTGGCAGAAACTGTGACGATACAGCCGCTTCTTGTCGTCCAGCGATAGCTTCTTCCAGTCGCCCAGCTCCTTTTCGCGGATGGCGCACAGCTCGGGTGTAACCTCGCGATATCGAATGGCCGGAAAGGGGCAGTCCTGGCTGTCAAAGTAGATGGGTCGACCGTTGATGCCGTAGCCAACCACCTCACGTTCGCCGACCATCAGGCGAATGCCGTCGCCGCCGCTCGCCAGTCGACGTCCCATTTGGCTGAGAGTCATAATCTGGCTGAGATTCCCCCCAGCGTTTCCACGGGGAATCAGGCGCAGTGCCGACATTTTGACGGCACTGTACCTGCAAGCGCAAACCTTTTGAGTTGACTGTACAAGTTCAAGTTCACTTAGTTTTAATTACCCACTTTTTTGTATACTTATAATTTTTTGTATTTTTGTTTAAAAATAATATTTGAGCTCCTGCTCGTTGCCCGTCTCGCAGGCGAATGAAATTTATACTTGCCTCTCGTTCAAATTACAACTTTTAAATCTGACAAATTGACAGCTAAAAAGCCACAGCCTACTTAACTTTTTTTTTGGATTTCGGAATTGCCCAATTGCTATGTTTTTGGAAACCAAAAACAAAAAAAAAATTTTGGTGGAAAAAGGGTTAAAAAAAAATATATATAGTATTGATAACACACAAACGATTTCAAAAGACTTATTCATTTTTTGTTAAATCTATATTAGTGATTTAAAATATTGTCCAACAAATGCGAAACTCTTAAAAGAATGGGATTCAAACAAATAATTGGGATCGTTTTTTTTTATAATTTTAATTTTAAGTTGATAACTTAAAGAATATCATAAAATTTTTAATTAGATTAGATTCGATTTTGGTATAGATAATAAAATGTTATTCCGAAATTTAATAATTTAAAATATTTTTATAAATTCCTTGTGATACAAAAAATGTATCTATATATGATTTTCAGAACAAACAATTAGAGAAGGGAAATTAAACTATTTCAGTAGCTAACAAATTATATTTTTCTTGGGAATTCTTGGGAAATGTCTGTCCACCATTTCATATTGCATTTTTTATTGAACCATTATCTTTTATATTAAAGCGCCCAGATGAGCAACTGTCAGAACATTCCCACTGCAATCGATGTGATCCATTGAGTGTGTGAAAAATGCCCCACTAATCCTTTTTATTCCGCTTCCTTTATTTCCACTCGAAAGGGAAAAAGGAAAATGGGAAAATACTGACATGTGAGGGACAGCCTAGACAGGAGGGACCCTCCTCCTTTTCCCCTCAACCAATTCTGACGTGGGTCAATTTAATTCGAAGAGATTGTAAAGTTGAAATAGCTGTATGTGTCACACCCCAAATAAAAAAATAGCGAAGGAGCATGGGGCCCATTGTCTTGTCCTTTTTTTTTTTTGGGGCACCCAAATTCGCCCACACAAAAATTTCACTGGAGGTGTTGAAGGGAAAGCCCTTTTGTTTCCGCCTTCCTTGAGGTTGAGCGAAAGGCTCTTCTGTTTGATATTTTCTTGAACCATTTGTGCTGCTGTCAGCAGTTTCATTATTTCCCATTTTTTCGTTTGAGTGGGTGAAAGCATGAAATTTTGATGGCTTGATTGTAGGACCGAAAGTGAAATTGAAATTGAATATTAAACCAGAATGGGTAAATCAGTAAGTAAGTAATTTAAATTCGTTGAAAAAAATTCATTTAATTAAGTTATTTAAGTAATTACGTAGTATTCAAATAAAACTAAAAGTTAGGTCGAAAAATAAATAACATTATGAAATAGACAAAGGTTTCAGTAAATTTAAACCGTCTTCAGATTTTATTTAAACTCCTTTGCTAGATAATAAAATAAACAAAAAATTAAATTTAAATAGTCTGTATTCATTTTTTTTCTTGATAAAACATATAAAGCATTTTACTTGTGCATAAAAGACTTTAACAATGCCACCACTGCGTATGACTAATATAGAAGACGTTACTCATACGCAGTGTTGTTATTAAAATAAACAAAAAATTAAATGTAAAAATCATAGGCTTTGCTAATTGCAGTAACTATTTTTATTTTTTATTCATTTTTTACTTTAAAATTAAATATTAAAAAATATTTGAAGCATTTAACTTGTGCATAAAAGACTTTAACAATGTCAATATAGAAGACTTTCAATGCGAATTACTCATACGCAGTGTGGTCACAGCTTAAACATTTTTGTTTACTTTACAGTTCATCTGAATTTGGTCCATTAAAATGTGTAAACCTATTGATAAAGTTAATACTTTGTTTACTCTTTTAAAGCCGCATAATAATTTCAACAGAGAGCACAGAGTAACAATGGCCCACAGTTATTACTACTGATGATGATGCACCCCCCTCCACTGATTTACATGACCTCATGGGAGGGTTAACAAAACTGCAGACCGGAGTTGGTTTCCAAGAACTTTTTCGGCCAGACAACAACTAATGAATGATGCAACAACAAGGAATCGCACTGACCAAGTCCGCAAAAAGTGAACTCTCAATGGGGAATGAGGGCGGAAAACTGCAGGAAAATTCACCACCAGGATGGGGGCTGGAAAATTCAGAGAGAGAAAAACATTTCCTGGTCTCGTTTGCTTCGTTTGGCGTGTGCCCCTTTTTTTTTGTTTTTTTTCTTGGTTTGTAAGCATTTAATTAATATTGAAAGCGACACATAAAAGGCTTAAATGCCCAGATCCACGGAGGCACAGACCCAGATACACACACTCGATCCGTGGAGTGCAGCAGGCCTCCAGAAGCAGGCCAATCATTTTTTCCACCACCATGTCAACGCAACACACATAAACCGGCTCACTGACTGACAGAGTGAATTTAGCTAGAAGGAATAGTAGAGCGGGAACTGCACTGGAAAATGCACAAGGTAAATTATATTTTTTTATAACCCCAAATATTTCGCTAAATATTTTACAAGCCACTTTAAAATGCACTTGTAAGCTATGCTAATATATATATATATATATATATATATATATATATATATATAACATGATAGTCCACTAAACAAATTTAATTGAATTTAACATGTATAATTTATATAGAAAATTCAATCTTTTGAGTGAATATTTTATAAGCCACCGCAGATTTGCAATTACTTTTTAATGTGCCCCAAAACTTTGCCATGATACAATGAATTAAATAAATTTATTTTAATTTGTTTATTTTTTAACAAGCTTTATAGTTTAATTCTCTATCAATAGGAGGAAAAATTACAATGTTGCGACTATTTGGGTCTTTTAAGTTTCGGTGTGCTGAACACGACCTCGTCCTTGGAAATTCTCCATCACTCTTACTTTTCGAGAATAATAATCTTAAAGTGCACCAAATTACGATTTTGCTTTAGTGCATCTATTTGGCTAGGGATCCCAAAATGGTCGAACGATTTTTTTAAAATTGTATATTTGAAAAATAATGTAAACACATCAAAAAACCTAAAAGTGCCTTAAAGTAGGCTATACCATTTTTGTGAAATCTCTTCAATATTCATATGAAATTTGTAATTTATCCAAAGATTTTTAAACCTAATTTTGTTCATTGGTTACTAAACATTAAGATAAGTGAAAACGTTTTCCTAAAAGGTACTGTCCCACTACTATTGATGATCTCCATTTTACCATTATTTCTTGATTTTATTCTTTTTTTTTTTATTCTTTTTTTTTTTTTATTCTTTTTATTATTTCTTGCAGTGTGTATTGGGGAAGTAAGGTGAGGAGTGGGTTGGCTGTTTGACTGTTTGGCTGGTTGGACTGCAAGTCAGAAGTTAGCTGGGACCTTGTCCTGTCATCACTTCAGAAGTCTAATGGGCGCGTCAGTGCTCGGCGAGCGTTCAGTTTTGGTGCAGTTAGTTGACAGGGATTGCCTCCTCCAGTTCCCTTTCCAGTTTCCCAAAACCCCTTTTTCGGTTGCCATGGGTGGCAGTCAGTCAGTCGCTTCTGTCATATGCACTGTCCCATCATTCAACGGGCTCTTCAGCACACAGCACACAACACACAACACAACACACACGCTGAAAGGAGAGCCCACAGTGGCTCAATCATCGTTGATATGACCGAAAAACCCCCTTTTTTGAAGGGGAGGGGGCTTTACACCCCCCAGACCACTACCGATGCGCTTTTTGGCCCCCCCTCCGGCTTTGTGAACTGACTCTCTGGCCCATTTGTTTCCGCTGGCACTGGCACTTCTCGCATTCCTCAGCGATTCGTGGCTTGGCGGTCGAAAATCGAGGGGGCGAGAGCTCTGAATTGAGTTTTAAGAGGCGACGACACTTGCATCCGTCCAACAGCTTACTGAACTGGAGCATATTTCACTCCAAAACGACTGCAACGGATCGGGCTCGGTCTTCACTTTCGCAAATGGAAGCATATATAACAATTGTTTAATTGTTTAAAAGGCTTTTGCGGAGTGCCAGTATTTTAATTTTGAAATTTAAGTGGTCTTTAACACTGGAAAGATATGGCCATTTACTCTTCTCTTTCTAATTTTATGTTGGATTGTTTAAAAGGTTTTTAAAGAGTACCAGAGAGCTCTTAAACACTTTTTGACTATTTGAAATTATTATTTAAACTTACGTCGTACAAGTTGTTGCCTTCATAATTTCGCAAATGTACTTAAATCTCTGAAAATCTTAATGTTTATTGGACTTTCGGATTCGAAATAATTTGTTGCATACTTTTATACACTTTTAAATGTGTAAACAAAAGTTTTCTTTTACTTTCATTTGTATCCTTATATATTTTATTGTCTTAATTTATATATAACTGTTTCTAGTTACTTGTAGTTTTGGATGAACTGTTTTCTTCCCTTTTTTAAAAAACCTTCTTTAATCCTACGTCGTTCAAATTGTTACGGGAGGCAAACGCTCTTCGATCTCATCACGTTGTCGGATCGAAAGTGCACTTTTAGCCTAAGGGCCGCCGCACAGGAAAGTCTGAGAAATTCTTCTCGCCCTTGGCGGCATTTACGTAAGTGCAAATACATGTGAGAGTGTGTGTGGGAAAAGCGCATTGCGACGTGGGCTGGCAATATGCCCGAAAAGTCCCCCAGAATTTTCCCCCCTTCCAAGTGTCATAAAAGTGACAAATCCATCAACAGCTAGGATGTGAAATGATGCGGGGTGTTAGCAATTTGTCTCGTCCGAAAAGAAGTGAAATGAAATGGAAAGGAACGGGACCAGAAAGGGAATGAAACGGGAAGGGAACGGAAACGGATTGTAAAACATGGTGGGAGCATGGGATTCGACGAGGATGAGTAAGCCAAATCGTTTGCCGCATTATACCATGCATCGTAAAAATTCTTTATGTGCGTGGGTGCTAAAAACTAAATTAAAGAGGAATACATCTGTCGTTTACGTTACTTCTTATGGCCGCCACTGAAATTGTACAAGCAATGAAACTTGGAAGTAACTTAATAACTTCCAGAGCCGCAGGAACTCTAAACAAGAAATACCAAAAGTAAGGCAATCACAACGGATTTGTTTATCTATGATATATAAGTTATATATATATAAGCTTTTCATAAATATTATTATTTTTATTTCTGTTGCAAAATAAATTTCATTACGTTTTATTTTAAAAATATTTGCTTCGTTAACTTTTTCTTAAGTTCAGTTTCTATAAGAAACCGTTCCCTAACAATGTAAAAATTTGCAGTCTTTTAGTTTCAACTTTAAGATATTTTAAACCACAGCGGATTTATTTATATATTTATTACTTCAGCTTTTCTTTTTATTATTACGCTTGCAAAAAAAAATTTATTTAATTTTGTTTTCCATAATTACATAATAAATTTAACTTATCTCTAAATTTTTCTTCACTTCAGCTTTCTAACATTTTAAAAGAATTCAAAAAAATGTTCACTTCTTCATCAAAAAGCATTTAAAATTTTTGATTTCAATTTTTCACGCATATTTAAACTTATTTTTTTGCTCTTTAATGTAGGAGTTTTATGCAATTTTTCCATTTCACAATAATTCCCCTTTTCGATATGCATCTTTTGGCATCATTGTTTTTTTCGGACATTTTGAATTCGAAATGTTCAACGCAAATATTGAACGAGTGATGGATATGCACACCTCTCGCTCCCTCTCGCTCCCTCTCGCTTCCTCTCGCTCCCTCTTCACACCCAATTCGAAACTAAATAAATATTTTTGTTGTATTTGAATTTTATTTGCTTGACTGCAGCAACCGAAAGCCAATATAAATGTGCATATAGCAACTATATATATTTATGTATAAATATTCCCATAGTTTTATGTATGTGTTTTTTGCCAACTAAATTGAGCGTATACTTCCGTGCCTTACGGCGCATTATTTGGCTATCGCGTATATATGGGATTTATAGAGGGAGTGACGGCCAAAACAATCACATAAATTGTTCATAGTTCATTTTCAACGCTTGTCCGGTGCCGTTTTAATACCCGGTATTTTTGGGTATAATGGATTGTAGATTTCTCCTTGTTAGACAGCTTATGAATATTACCTCTATTTTTTATTTTTTTATTTTTGGGGGTTTCCATTAATTTATACTTAAACTAAGGGGGGCGAAAAAATAATTTCATCTGCAGACAAAATATACTCTTTACTCTTTTTACACTTATAGCATAATTTTATGCAGATTCTAATACATACATATATATTCCTATAAACTTGAAATAAAAACAACAATTTTTAATTCCAGGTTAAATAAATACAAAAACCACACATTCGTTCAACACAAAAAGGGGTAAGCTTTTATTATTTTTATTTCTAATTTAGTTAATAGTTATGTAATAGTTAAATAAAAGCTGAATATAATATTGAGTTTATATTTTAAAATTTATCAATCGATTTAAATTACTATATTTAAATGATTTTTTTTAGAAGAAAGTTAAGTTAAATTATTAATGTGTTAAAATAAAGTATATTCTTTTGACTTACCTGCTTTGATTTCGATTTTCAACTAGCTAAGATATATTTTCTAAGTGCATTCGTCGTGTTCGGCCATAAGCAGTTTATGCCCCTGATTTATTATGGGCCAACAAATCACCAATATGTTGGCTTAAAGCCCATTCCTCTTTTAGCCCCCCTGCGGATGCTGTTGCATTTTAAATGCTTTTCGTGGAAAGGTGGAAAAGCACTGATATTTGCCATGTGATTGGGGTTACGCGAAAAAAGACATCGAATTTAAGTTCAATTCACTGGCGAACACTTGAAGTTGAGTCCCGAATTCAAACACCCAAACATGCACACGTACAACCTTTAAAAAAGGGGGTGTGATGGGGTCAGGGGACACAGGTTTGGGAGTGGCAACCAGGTGCTACTGAGGCTGCCACAAAAGTGATGATGACAGGGGCAAATGGAACTTTCTTGTATTATTATTACTTGCCTTGTTCGTTTTTTTTCTTTTTATTTTTATTTTTTTTTTGCGTTTGAGCCTCTGCTTTAATGGAAGGCATGGAGGTTTTCTCTCATCCTCCTCAGGGGGTTTCCTTAACACCAAAACCCCATTTTTAACATTTCTTTAAGAAGGGTAACATTTTCAAGAAATCAATTGCTTGATTTAAGATGAATACCGCTTTTATAAATAATAAAGTCATTACTAAATTTATGTTTATGATTTTGGAAATATATTTACTAGTTTGAGAATATTAATATATCAATATTTTTACATAATGAAATGCTTTACTATGTTAAACACGTTATAAGATTCCCAATCGATCTGCATTTAAATCTGAAAATTTAAATTTAATGTGATGTCATACTGGATAAAACATGATTTTACAATTTTACTAAACAGTCAAATTTTCCATTACACCTTTAGAAATTTATTTTTTTGTTAAACTAAAACTAAAATAATTGATTCATCGAATATTTATTTATTTGATAGGTAATAGTTCAATATTAAGTATACATTTTTGCCATTACATTTGGATACATCAAAATCAATTTAAAAACTCCCCGAAGATTTTCCCGTGTGACAGTAATCAATATGATCGAAATATAATTTCTGGTTCAATTTTCTCGGTGATTTCTTTCTCTTATTATCCAGGAAACTTGGAGAAGCGGGGAAAGTGGTGAAAAAAGGGGTTAAGGAGTAAGCAGTGATGCGAAAAGTGTTAAAAATGAAATCGTGTACGCATTGAGAGCATAAAACGTGCATAAAAATCTGTCATTTACATTGGTAAAGGCGTGAAAAATTGGCAAAGTTACCCCCCTGCACGTCGCTTTCCCCCTTTCCCATTTCCCATTTGCCCTTTTCCTCGATTTTCCACACTTTTCTCTGACTTACTCTTTCGCTCTTTTTGCGTGTGTTTGCTTCCCTGGCGAAAAGTTGGAAAAGCGCTGACGAGAACTCGGTTTGCCTTTGGCTGTCGCAGCATCACTTTTCTCTACTTATGCCCCTCCTGATTTTCCCCTCGCTTTTCCCATCTGCCCTCGTTTCGACTTCAACTCTTTTCCGCTTTGAATTTGCTTTATGAGAAATTTATAATATCCCCCAACTCGAAGTGGAACGGATTTTGTTTGTTAGCCAGGGAGAAATGGCAAGTGGTCAGGGAAAATGTTAACCAGTTAACTTAATGAGTTAAATATTTTTCGAATTTACTGCAAAGCTTAGTTGTTTAAATCACAAAAAAAAATCAGGAAAATCTGAATTAATATCCTTTTCTAACAAAACTGAACGATTTAGTATACTTTTAAAAAAGCATTTTGCAATATTTTTTCTTAGCTTCATACTTTATTAAATGATTCAGAACTTATAATTTTAATTGATTTCAAGCATTTCGAAAATTTGTCACAATTTTTCAGGCCCCTTTCCTCCAAAGCTAGTTTTCAAATAAAGGGGTTTCGGGTTTCTATTCTTTTTTACTCCATCACATTAATAAATTAGCCATGCCTTCAGGGCAAAAAAGAGCGATAAAAGAGTGAAACCCCCTAGAGGGTTGAAAATCAGGACGCCAACTGTTCTTCTAGTTGAGCCATAGTTTTAAGTTGATTAATTAGCGAACGGATTGTGGATATTAAAATGGAATAAATGCTAACCGGCCCTTCAGAGCATCTTTTCATCAAGTAAAAACATTTTAATTGAAATGCCATTGCGTATACGCAGCATGGGCAGCATTATAAAATAAAAAAAAAATGTAAGCTGGTTTATGTTAGGGGCTTCGGATAAGTTTAGAGTTGCAAGTGGTGGGGTCTCTTCAAACCGCAGGTAACAAGTGAGTATGAGAAGTTATTATTTGTTACTGAGTTTATGCGATAACCATTTTATGCAAACATTTAATGAAATGGAGAAATACATGTGTGCATAAACACCATTTCATGTATTCGCTTACACACACGAAAGTTGGCTATGAATTCAAACCTAATGTGTGATATGGTGAGGCGCAACTAACTTAACTTGCTATAAATAAGGTGGCAACGCCAGACGTAAAAGTTAACAATTGAAATATAATTCTTCTCTCTTTAATTAGTAATTTATTGGTTATATCTTCACTTAGTTTCGTTGTTAATTGGTGTTCCAGTTTTTTTTTGGCGATGGTAAAAATAATAATAACCAGCTGAAAAAAAATTAATATCAGAGGTGCCAGACTTTTCAATTAAGTTGTACCTTAATATTACACGTCTGGTATCTCTGCTAATATTTGTCTATGTCGCTTATTCAAGAATTCTTGAAATTCGGAGCAGAAACATAGTATGTCATAATAAAAATGGGACTAATGTTGTGCGGGGATGACAAGAATAGAGGAAATGGGGGAGAAGATAAAGATGTTGACAAATCAACATGGCATCGCTTTAAGTACCCGACATTAATTCCCCCCCAGAAAATAAACCGAAAGTGAATCAGATACTTGGATCCCAGCCTGCCGGCTGTGTAGCAATTACATTTAATTATCAAAGCGTTATGCAAATGTTGTCTGGTTTTGAAATAAGAAAGCTCGTCGGGAGTGGATATCGCCCAAAAAACGCTCGAAAATTAAAAAGAAATCAAGTGAGCCCCAGAAAAACCCCACAAAAGTCTCGTTTGAGGTCGTTCATACAGCGTGACAGTCTGTTGCCTTTTTTTTGGTGGTCGGAGATGCCGGAATATGCCACATGGACACTGCTGGTGGAGAATTAAAACCGGAGCAGGGGATAAAAACGAAGGACGGATGGATGGATATCCTGGCAGAGAGTGTCCTGAAACAAACGTTGTCTTACAATGGTGGGAATTTAATTTTGAATATGAAAATCGGAAGTGTTGCGGTTCATTTAGTACGGCAAACTTTAATAACATAAATTCTATGCAAGCATTTCCATTTGCTTAGACTTTTTGAAGAAATAATGAACAAAACTACCAAACGTAAAAAATTTGAAATAAACAAAAATAAGTTATTTATTTTACAAATATAATTAATATGTTAAATTATTATAATAAATGTGTACTATTTGTTAACTATGCGTAAGTCTTGGAAACATTTCGATTAGCTTTTAAAATAAATAAAAGATAAATAGGTTATTTCGTTAAAGTTTATGTTTTTATTTCAATTATTATTAATAAATTCGGCAACATTTATTTTTTTTAGTGTGGGCCTTTGGTAGCCTAACAATTTTCCTTTGGTAAAATTCCCACTTCTAGTTATCTTTGTATTTTTACCGCACACTGCCAGAGACTGCTCATTTTCTGTTTTTGCACACTATTTCTCTTTTGCTGGGCTTCAGACATGGGCCACATGGCGTATGCTTAATTTGGTTGCCACTTTGACAACTTGACTGCCTGCCTGCTGGCTATGCATATATAAGAGTGTGTGGGTGCCTTTTTGAGAGTGTGTATACGTGTGTGTGTGTGCTGACCAAAAGGACATTCAAGTCCTGTCAGAAATGAGCGAAGGTAAGCCGGGGCTGAGCTGAAATAAGGTGTTGTCTGCCAGCAATTAAAAGGACTTTATCACAAGTACATAAAAATATACCTCGCACACAAGGCGAAAAATAGAGGAATGCCATGGAAAAGCGGGTAAAATGGAGGAGCAACCGACAAACAACCTAATTAACTTGTCAAAAATTCAGACTCTGCGAAGACCGAAAAAATAAAGAAAAACCTGGGGAAAAAACAAAAGGAAAACAAACAAAGGCAATCCCCATTTTGGCCTACGTGCCCGGCTTAAGGTTCTATTAAAATTTCAATTAAACATTTTCCCTTTCCCCCCCCCTCCGCTCAGTACTTATGTGCTTTAATTATTGTTTTTATAATTATTATAATTATGATTGCGAGACAGCGAACCTCCGGGGGTTTTGAACGACTTGCTGGAAAACTTTCGTTAGAAATTTTTTTGGTGTGGGAGATGGAAATTGTGATGCTGGATTTTCACAGTATAGAAGCGAAACACTACGCGGCCATTTCGCACGCAAATGTTCAATTATTGAAAATGCCTGGCCCTGGGGAAAACAACAACAACGAGTTGTGGAAACGTGCGGGAAAGTCGCAAAATGCGAATGGTGGCTGAGAAAACAAAAATCTGTTTACGTGATTTTCTCCATCTTTGTTTGTGTGTGACTTTGTCGCACATGGAAAATGCAGTCAAAAAATAAAAAAAAAGGTTCAGGAAAAGTTGTCGTTAGCTCTAGCCAAGACAAAACTACATGAATACACGGATAAAAATAGTTATCTATAGAGGTTAAATAAATTCGAAATTTTTGATAATTTTGGAAATGTTGAACTATAAGAACATATAAAAGACAAGCATATATAATTTTTCAAAAATCTTAAAAGATGTGTCTAACAAGTCCTTACAGTTTTAATCTTTTGATTAATTAAATGGCTTAAGGGTTTTAATTTATTTAGTAAATATTTAAAATTATATTTTTTGCAACAAATTTTTCTTTAAGTGAGCCACAAATATTGGCAGACAGGGACACAGAGTTAAACTAAAGACAGCGACAAAGGCAAACAGAGAGGCAAGCTGGCGGACAGACAGGACCACACACGTAGGTACAAGAAATCCTGCTGCACTTGGCACGACTGGGAAAATGTCGCCACCCCTCGTCATGTTCCTTGTGTTTTCTGCATTGCTTCGAAAAGAGCGCCGCAAGCAGTTTGCCTTCAACTTGAACCACCACCTTGACGATGCATTGATGTACTGCAAACATTTTTTTTACTTAAAAAAAGGCAAAGTCTTCTAAAACACTAAACCTCTTTTTAGCTATTAGCTTATATTTTATTATAACTGTTTCCAATGCTCAACTTTTTAATAGTACAATTTATCAGTAATAGTAAATCCACATTTAATCTGGGGTGCCATGTTCAATTATAGAGGTTAAACAAAAAAACTTTTAAAGGTGTCTAAAACAAGTAGTAAAAAATATAACGTTTTTTTCGATTTAAGTGGCATTATCACTATTTATTATAGGTGTCTTATTATTATTTCTTTTTTTGGCTATAAATATCTTTGGGTTAATTATTTTCAGTATTGTTAAGACTTGTAAATACTTTTTGTTTCAGTGATGTGCTGTCTTTGCGCCACTTTGCTTTGAGTTGGTGGTTTTGGTAGCTTCACTCCCTCTGTGGGAATGTCTCCATTTGGCTGTCTGCTCCCCGGCTACGTGTCTATTCAAATTTACACCAAGATACCCTGTAACCCACGGGGGGAAGTGGAATTGCCTGCCTGTCTGGCACTTTCGACGATCGCTGCCGTATACAACATTTAATTCAACTTTATTTCGGGCGGAAACTTGTGCAAACTGCAACTGCCTCGAAAGTTAAAAGGGACAAAGAGAGAGAGAGAGAGAGAGAAGATTTGTAAATTGAATTGGAATTATTTGGCAAATGTGAAGCAACGTAGAGGAAAGTCAAATAAAAATAAAACCAAAAAAAGAAAAGGAAACAAAAATAAAAAGCAATGGAGTGTGGCAACATTTTATGCAAATCAACTGACAGATTTTCATCCCTGGCTCGTGAGCGGGGAAAAAAGAGGTGAAAAACAGGTGAAATAAAACGTTGGCGTAATTGAAAAACTACAGCGACAAATGCATCACTGCAGCAGCCGTCTCTTTCTTATCGAATCGCTCCGTCTCTTTCTCGTCGGGGGCTTTATGCGTCAGTTTGCCGGTGATTTGTGCCATTATTCGATAAGCGTTTAAGTAATTAAATGCAGGCTCGTTGCGATTGACAAACGACCTGCCGTCTCCCTCGCTCCCTCTCCCTGTCTCACTCTGGTGCTATATATATGACGTATCATATCATCATTCTGCTGGGTTTCCCTAAGAAAAATAACAAATTTTGGTCACTTTGATTAATCAAATCATAAATTTTTCAAAATTGTTTTTAAAATTTTTTTAAATCTCTAAAAGGCTCCAATCTTTATAGGCTTTTTATTACATTATATTATTATTTTAAAACGTGTCCAATTACAAATATTAAAGTGCACTAACAAAAAAATTGAATAGTAAATATAAGTATCTGACTATTGAATTAAAAATTGTATAATTTTTTTTAATTATATATAAAATCGTAATACCAAATACAATGCATATTAAATTAAATGAGTTATATTTAAAAACTTCAAAAAATACGTTCAAGTTCAAATGACGCCAAGGGTTTTCCCACACACATGTGTGCTTTTCATTCATCGGGAAAAGCGCGTTAATTGCTGAATACTTTATTTGTATTTAAATGGCTGTCAATGGCGCCCAGCGGATTCCCATGCCAGAGAACAAGAAACGAGACCTTAATTATGCGTAAATAATAAATTGTTGCTTTATTGAATTTCATTCCATTAAAATGTTACCACATAATGAGAAGTGTATACATGTATTTGTTGGTGTGGTTTTGTGTTGACTTGTTTTTTTTTTTTTTTTAATTATTTTTGCATATATTTTTTTTTTTTTTTTTTTTGATACGCTGATACCTTTGGAGAATTTTCCATGTTCTTCATTTTCCCCCTGTGCCACAAATTTTCCAATTAAATTGTACAACAAACAAACGGCGAACACATCTGAGAAATCCGGGAAATTTGAATCGGGTTTTCTCGCTTTCCCTTAAACTTAAAGTAATGCAAAACACAAAATTATAATTTAAAGTTGAGCCACAAGGAAGCTCTGTATGAAAAGCAAATTTTCTTCTTATGAATCCAGTTTGAGAAATATGTATTTGCCATTGCGCTTAGTTTTAATTGCTTGACGCTTTTTGCCAGTTTTTTTTTCTCCTCGGCACGTTTCGCTTTTGATATGTTAATTGCACCGCATCGCATCGCAATCTCCCCCCTTTCTGCTCGACCTTTCTCTGCTTTCTCCTTTCTCCCTTTAATCCGCCTTGCTTATGAATTTTTTTATTTCATTTCCGCTCACATACTTTGTGTCAGTGTGCGTGTGTATAAACTCGTAATTCGGCTAAAGCTTTTTTTGGGAATGCATTTATTTCCTTTTTGCTGTTTTTCCTTTATATTCCTACACAAAGTATTTTTCATTTCTTAAGTTTTCGATTTATTTTTGGGGGAATTTTTCAGAGCTTTTCATCTTTTGCCTTTTGTTTTTTTTTTAAAGCTGTGTGGGCGTGTAATATTTGCTTTAGACTTTCCAACAACACTCGGGGAAGACTGTGAAAATATTATACAATTTTCAAATTATATAAGTATAACTTTGTATTGCTTATTTTTTGTTTATTTCTTTTCCAATTAAAAACAACACAAAAAGTTTCGGAAACTATGCTGTAAAAATTGGTAGTTCAATTTTCGTAGCAAACTTTAATGTTTTTTTTCAACAAAAACTTATTCTTGTGACTAGTGCATTAAATAGCTCGTTTGAGAGGTATTAAAAATTGATAAAAATGATAAAAAATGCAATAGAGTTTTTTGTATTTATTTTTGTGTTATTTTGTTTATTTGTTCTGAAAAAATAGAAAACAATAGGTTAAAAAGTGGATAAACTAAAACTTTTAGTTTCCCCTACTTTCTACTTTCGTAAATTTCCAGTCCAAAGCAAAGTTTTAAAAATCTTTAATTTTCTCTTCTTTGTTTTGATATGTTGTTTAACACTTTGTTTTCTGTTCGTTTTTGTTTCTATTGACCACTAAACGTATTGTTTGTTCGGTTCTGGCTTATTGAATAGCTTTAAATTTGTGCAACAGTTTCTTTGTCTTCTGCTCGATTTCGTTTTAACTTTATTGTGTTTTCATTGTTTTTCGTTTAATTTTGAAACCTATTTCGATGGATTTTGCGTGCAAGGGGCGAGAGAAAAGCATTCTAACAATTTTTCATCTAAATTTTCAGCTACTTTGCACTCAAAAGCAATGCTTTCTAAACCTAAAAACATCAATTGAAACAAAGGAACAAATAATAATAATATTTTTTTTTTGGTTATCACTTTTTGATTTCTAACAGCTCTTTGAGTGTGTGTGTTTTCGTATATAAGTGTGTATGTGTGTGTCTACAGGTGTTATTCGCTATTTATACACAAAAAAAAAGTTTTTCGCTTAACTTTAGTTTAGTTTTTTTGTATTTTTTTCTCTCTTTATTTTATTATTTACTTTTTCTAACGTTTATCGTTTGATGTTTTAATATATTCATCACACCAAAAAAAATAGTTTTCGACAATTATCTCTATATCCATTGATTCGCTTCTTTCTTCCCTTGTAAAACATAAAACACCAAAAATAATACCTCCGAAAGCGGCGACTATAATATAGTTCTAGAATTATGTTTAGATTTTGAGTTGGTAGCATGTCTGGCAAAGGGAATTGGAATTTTACAATCGTATTTTTTAATTGTGGGCAAGAACCCGTTCAAACTGGCTGGCATCGGTTTTTTTTGTGGCTCGAAATGTTGGATTAAATTTGTTTGAAATAATTTATATTTAAATAAATTAAAATAATGTGTTTTTGAAAAACCTTTATGATTATCAGTCCAAAGACTTTAACTTAATTTTTAAAAAATGTTTTTAACTTTTTAACTTAATCCAAGACTATTTCAAATTAAAATTATATTAAGTTTAAAAAACAATAATTTTATATAGAAAATCTAGTAAAAATACGAGAAGGTGTACAATTCCAGATAAGCAATAACAAGAGTACATTTATATTTATATTGTATACATATTTTTCAAAACTATTTCAAAAGGTTTTTTGTTTTCCAAATATAAACGCATTACAGGTTTACTTTTGAAGACTAAAACAAAATGGTTGTTCGCTTCTATAAATAATATTATGTATCCTAAAATATAAAGAGAGCATTACTGATTTGCAATTTTTAAGAGCATTATTCATTATTTTGAATTCAGCTTTATGGTTTGCTGGTTACATTTTTATAGAAGCTCTTGACTGGACTTCAATAATTTTGTTTAGGGTCTGGGTTTAATATTTAGTTCCCTAAATTCCCTTTCCACCCATGGCTACCAACTCATCGTAATTTCTCCTTTCTTCTCCCTCTCTTACTTTCTCTCTCTCTCTCTCTCTCTCTCTCTCTCTGTTTGTTCAGCTTTTCCAGCTTTTCAATTGCTGCACAAAATTCGCGGCTTAAGGCATCGGAAAGTGATTCTGCTCAAAGTCTTTGTGTCGCTCCGCCAGCGATTTCTCCAGCCGTCGATCCGTGATGGCCACGAATGGCAGACGCGACTGTTTGCCTCTACTACTGCTGCTGGTGCTGCCGCCGACGAAGCCGGAAATGGCGGATGCACTGGCTCCATCCACCACGCGATGGTAGACAAAAGAGTTGAGGGGCGAGGGATCGCCATGACCCACAGATTCTCCACCTGCCCTTTCGGTGATTCCGCCTGGCTTCTCGGTGGAATTACCCGTCGTCTCCGAGCGTGGCCAGCCGCCACTTGAACTTTGACCCCTGCCCGCCACATTGGCCACAAACTGGGCACTGCGACTGCGACTGCGCGGTGTGCCCAGAAAGCTGCCAGCTATGGCCGGATATGAGGGCAGCTTATAGAGCGCCGGCTTGGCCGTGGTTGTCATAGCCGGAGATGCCTGTTTGCTGGCCATTTCCCTTTGCCAAAAGCTCAGAGCATCGCTTGGGGGATTTGCCTCCACTCCCGAATTAGCCGAAGCATCTTCCTCGGGCAATTGATTGCTGGGCCCCGCTGTCGTTGCCACTTTCTCCATATCTATATCTTTAAGACCCTTGGATACCTCCTCTTTAACTGGCTCCGAAGTCGTACTCAAGCGACTCTTTTGCAGGGCAAACAAGTCCTCGAAATGCTGATGCTGATGGTAGCGACGCCGCTTCTCCTTCAGATACTCATCATCTAGGCGAACCGCTTCGGTGCTGGCCCGAGCAGAATTGCCCACCGGATTGTTGTTGGTGGGCGTGGGCAGAGTGCCCTCCAGCAGATTGAGCAACTGCTTGTTCCGTCTGTTGTACTTCTTGATGTACGGCGGCAGATTGGCCTCTTCGCCGTGCTCCTGCTGGGCCTCCTCCAGTTCGGCGGCACTCTCGTAGTCATCCTCATAGTCGCCATACAGTTCGGGATGCGATTCGCGATAGTGCTCGTCGTAGACCTGGAACTGAACCCTGGCTAGATGTGGCCACTTGGCGTAGTAGCGCTCTAAATGCTCCAGTTCGGTTATTTGATGGCCCAGTTGTGGTTTCGGTGGTGGCAGCGGTGGCGTGGGCGGTGGTGCTGGTGCTGCCGATGGTGCTGTATTGAAGCTACCAACTCCCCCGCCACCTCCCAACTGAACCTTCCGCTGATAGGGATTACTGGGTCGGGCACGCAGATGACTCGACTTCTGGTGGCTATGATGGTGATGAATGTGCTGGTGGTGCCCAGCATTATGATGACTGTGATGATGGGCATGCTGCTGATGATGATGATTGCCACCTAAATGCTGATGATGATGCTGATGGTGGTGATGGTGATGGTCCTTCGATGCCGGATCACTCTTAATGCCGTTTCTCAACACTGGACTAATGCGGCGATACCAATTGCCATTGTCATGGGCTATCAGACGTTCCATTTCGGTGTGATGCTTGAGATCCACATCCAGCTGCTGCTGATTGTCGTAGTAGTTGACCTGACCCTCGTAGAATGGTTTGGTCGTGACCAACAAAGGTCGCTGGGGTCGCAAGCCCAGGGCGAAAATCGGCGATGAATGCGTCGATCTTTCCCGTTCTTTTTGCAACTTTTGAAGGTGCCTGGTGGATACGGTGGCTGGCGGGTTGATTTCCGGCGGCGGCGGTGTCACTTCCTTCTGCCGCTTCAGATAGTCCTTGTACCGCTTCTTGTGACTCTTGTGACCCGTCCGCTGGCGACTTCGTCGCAACGCCTTGAAACGCTCGAAGGCCGACGAGGGGGCGGCTGTGCTGACGGTGGGCGTGGCCATGCTCACTGTGTGCAGCGTCAAAAGAAACAAGCAGAAGAAAAATCATTGTTAGTCTCGACACGCTTTTTTTGGGGCTAGCAAGTAATAGATTTCTATTAGGCCAACGGACAACAAAAACTTCTCTTGTCCAATGCCCTGCAAAAGGACAAAAATGGGTAGCTTTAAACATCCAACAATTTGGACAAAACATAAAAAGAATATGATTATTTGTAAATCATTTACTTCAGATTTTAGTTCCAGCTAAAAGTTCTTAATAAGCTGATTGTTTCTGTTTTCCAGCTTTATTTTAGGCAATTTATGACAATGTAAAGATAAGGTTTTAGTGCAGACTTTAAAAATGTGTTTGTTTTATTTCATTAAGATATTTTAATTGCTTTAAGCATAAATACTATATAATGTTATACATATAAAGTTATTGACCAAATTATGAAGTGGTAAATATGGGGTTTTGAAGACAGTCTAAGTGCAGAATTTAGAAATGTTTTATTTCAATCTCTTATATGCTTCAAGTATGAATATAATGTTGCAGGGTATGTAAGACTCTCGCCGCTAATCTGGCCCTTCCTTCTCATTGTGACCCAGCTCAATGTTGCTACTGAAATCCTTACAAACCACACAAAATCCCCAAAACCACCGATCCCCGAAACCTCTCCCCTCGAATAGCCTTACACACACACAAATTCATTTCAACTTGATTTGTGCCAGCGAGGGAGGCGTCAGAACTCTCAAGAAATAACCAACGGATTTATGGTGCAACTCTCGAAGCAACCCGGGCATTTTCATTTTCTTCTTGAAGTCAGGGCACGTCTGCCATCACCACCGCCACCGCCTCCGCAAAACTTCATTTCTTGGCCAATCCTCTGGACAGATTTGGTTGCTTCCGTTGGCTACTACACCCAGAGAAAAATTCAATAGTAAAATAAAACATTAAAATATTTAAATGTTACATTGTTCTTTTCAAAATTAAAACTTACTTAAAGTAAACTTAACATTATAAAGTAGTTATTAAAATATATTTAATTGCAATAAGAAAATTGTATATTTGAATTTTATTTTCAATTTAAAACTAAATTTTTCTATACTTAAAAATAAAAATGAAAGTGTTACACACTTTGACATAAACAACACAACTAAATTTGTACCGAAAATATTAAATTTAAAGTGTAAATTTCTGAATATGTTATGATTTTTCTCTGAATGTATATATATATATATACCTATGTTACATATATTTGCTATTTTGTGAGCTTTATTGTTTAATGCCAGGAAATTGGGAAGAGGGAAGTGGTGCTGGCGTTTTCTCCTGGGGAGGCTAAACTTTTTCCGTTTGATTTCTCTTGCCTTGCAGAAAAATTTAAAGAAATTTGCATACATTTTGTTTTCTTTTTGCTTTTTTTTTTGCTTTGCCTAAACTAATTATGGCAACCTAAAATTTGAGATTTGTACGCTTCTTGAGCATTTTACACATCTGCATTTAAGCGATTTTAATGGCAAAATCTATCTTACATCCAACGCTTTGTTTGAGGGCCTTCGTCTGCAGAATGCTTTGGGGATCTACTTCACATATTTTCAATTTACGGTAAGCATACACAGCCACATGGCTGACTTTGATGGGATCTCTAACTGGGGTCCAGTTTTCCGAATACCCAAAACTGCCAGGCAAAACCGAACGCAGAATGGAATTTCTGGCATAGAGCGTCAAAAGCAAATGATTTGGGGCTTTGTAAATTCCCCTCATATCAAAGGGCAGTGGAATGCGGCACAGTGGGCAGAACTACGCATTTACGAATTAATTAGATTATTTTTTCATATATTATTATATTTCTTTTAAGCTAAAGGTTAGTATTCTCTTAAGACACATGATTTAACATGTCATCGAAATAAAAATAAACTCAAACTGGTAAGATCTATGATTTAATTTTGCTTTTATGTGTTGATATTATTATTTAGATATTTTGTTTTAAATGATTAATCATTAAATGATTAATCATAACCTTAAACTATAAAGAGCAAGGGGTAAAGCTTTATAACTTTTACTTGATCATTCTTTTTATTTTGTTTCATAAGTTAGTATAAAGTAAATTTCCTTAGCTACAAAAAGTTGTTGCAAAAATATCAAACAAAACATCCAGATTGATCTGCATTTTCCATTAATTTACTATATTTTTTTTAGCTCATAAATCTTATTACCCATCACCACTGTGCCTTTGAATGCAGCATTCAGTTTGTAGTTGAATGTTCTTTATTTTGGTTTTCAGTTGCTTAATACACAGTTTCATGTGCAAGCGACTTACCCTCGTGATATTGCTGCAATGCAGATTCCAAATCAGATTCCAATTTGCCATCCTCCAGTGGTTCCTCCTCTGGCTTTTCATCGCCGGATTTCTCCCAGGGATTTTCCAGCTTGGTAGCCTCCGGTGGCGGCTGCTGTTCGGCGTAATCATCGTCCACGTAACGTGTTGCATGTTGCTGCTGTGCAACAACATGTTGCTGTTGCAACAGCTGCTGCTGCTGCAGCTTCCTTTCAGTTGCATTTAATTTTCCAGCATAGTAGCTGCTCAAGTAATTCTCCTCGGACTTTGCCGGTTCGAAACTGACCAACTTTCTGGGATTGCTGCTGGTGTCATAGTAGTGCAACTCGCCCACATCCTCCTCATCGGTGTTGTCATCCTCCTCCTCCTGAGCCCGAATCCTACCAATATCATAGCTGCCATAGTATCTGGTTTCTGTGCTTGACGGCTGAGGTTGGCCAAAGAAATTTCTCTTCAGTTTGCGGCCAATTGTTGGCGGAGTTTTTGGTGTTGTCGAAGTTGTTGTGCTTGTTGTGCTGCTGCTGCTGCTGGTGCTGCTGAAGGTGGTTGTTGATGTGGCCAAGGTGGTGCTGGTGGTTGGTGGGGCCTTGGTGGTTGTTGATGTGGCTATTGGGTATTTTTTGGCCAATTCATCATTGTCAATGGACGACTTAATGTCCTCGTCGTCGTCGTCGCAGTCGCCGTCGTCGTCGTCGTCGTCATCGCTGGGCAATACTTCATCATTATCCAAATTGTCTTCGATGTCGCCAATGGCCTCATCCACCACCTGTCTGGACTCCTTCTTAACTGCCAACTTCTGCATCGATTGGACCGTTGGCTTATTAAATTTTCGTTCATTTAATATTTCAATAGCATCGAACAGCTGTGACGACGTGGGGTATTCCTCTACTGTATCCTCATCGCCATCATCGCCCCGCTTCCGGTTGTTGCTGTTGCCCCCGTCTCCTTTTTGTTGACTTTCGTGCTGTTCGTGCATGTTCTTCAATTTTTTATACGCAAAACTTTGCCTGCCAAAGTTCGCGTTGTCCTCCTCGACGGAAGTGAATTTGGTTGCGCCACCCACAGTCATCTCCGATTTTCCGGCTACTTCAGCTTCATCTTCAGCCTCAGCATCCTCCACATTGCCAACTCGCTTTGGTAGCTGGCTGCCTTTATTGTTTTTCAATTTGTAGTTGTAGTGGCTTATATCATTCTTCTTATCCTTGGTCCTGGACCGCTTCTTGTTGTTATTTTGGTATTTCTTAGCGTCCAGGTAAACACTAAAATTCCTTGAAGTGGGCCTTTGAGATTCAAGTATCTGAAAGTAGTTGCAATGCACAGAGCGGAAAATCAGTTAATTTAGTTTAAAAGCTTTACAAATATTTTTTTTTCATGTGATATAAAAATAAAATAATGATACAAACGAGCAAATTTCTAAACTTTTTTCACCGTTTAAAATTTTTTTAGCTTTAACTTATTAAATAAAAATAAATATAAAATTAATTTTATTATAAAGTTAAGTTTACCAGGGACCTTAAAGAAAAGTACAAACTTTGTTAGTTTTATAATTTTGAAAGGGATTAGAAATCAACAAAAAAGATTTTACAGCTAACTATCTTTACAGCACTCATAGAATAAGAATTTTCTACTAAAAAAAACAGAAACAAACGCAAAATAAACTCAAAGGAATCTTTTCCTTTGGACCTTTCCTAAGGCTTTCAGTTGGCATTTCCGAGAAGGAAGTGCTGGGGCTTGGGTGCACATGTGCAGCTAGACAATAAAATGAAAGTTTCATTTCGAGTCCCTAGCTGCATTCTACACTCAACTCAAGTGTCTGCAAATCGTTGATTAAAGAAGTGGAGTGCCAGAAATTTCGGGGAAATGCAGTTCCAAGAAATTGTCCATGCAATGATGGTGCGATAGTTGAGTGCATTTAAAAGTGCTAAATGTAGTTTTCGATTTTGTACAGTCCACATTCCTGAAGTTGCAAGTCTAGTCAAGTCAGTCCTCATTACATAAACTAACAAGCTATTTTTGTGCTCAATGAATCAGTCATAGCTTCAGTTATTTTGTGTCTAATAATTTAGCTCTATCGATTTTAACTTTAAGGCTGTCCATTGTTAATTTATTCCTGGCATTTCCCTACTTCATATTGAGCTTTGAAGGCAGTTCTCAGGGCCTTCTTTTGTTCTCATGGCAATTATTTTTCGGGCTACATTTTTTGGTTTCAAAAATGCTTTCAAGTGATTTTGGTTCTTGCTCTTCTCGACTTTGGTCTCATTTTTTGCTCAAGTGAATTTCAATGCCGGGATTGAGTATTGGGCTAAGCTGTGTGGCCCAACATCCCTCAACCCTTTTTCGGCTTGGCCTCACCTGCTTCATCTAAAAAAAAAGTAATTTGACTTGGCCGCTCGCATTGTGCGACATTTCAATGGACACCCCTTCATCCGTTGGCCCCATATCACCCCACATCACCCCCCTTAGTTCAATAGAACTGACCTCATTCGGAATGGTCTTGACTGTAGGCTCGGGCACTCCATAGCATCTATGTGTACTTATGTTTGTCTGTGTACACTTAAAAACTGTCAAAACAAGGGAGAAAAATCTATGACTATATTTGGATATTTATTTTGCATATTCTCTGCAAAAACTTGGTTTGAAAATATAAAAACTTAATCTTAGTGCATATGGTAAATAACAAAAAATATAAATACTTAAACTAAGTAAAATCTAAAAACAGAAGTAAACGGTTTTAATACTAATAAAAAGAAAACTATATAATGGCGCCCGAGCTGGGTTAACAATAATGGATAATGTGTTACTTTAAATCAGTTGTTAAGATATCCAAAGTTAAGAACAATATTAATTTTTGAATGATGAGGCCTATGTGTTGGAATAACTATAATGAATCTTAAAGTATTTTGAAAAACTTATTAAGATATCAAAAATAATTTATATTTTAAAATATATATTTTTTAAGAATTTCTTTCAATATTCATGTTTAAAAGCTCCAGATCCATGGTCGGGCGCCAAATTATAATACCTTTGGCAGTGCATGTTTTTGCAAGTGTATCAGTCATGTGTGTACTCACGATGTCAGCCTCGGATGCATCGTCGTCCTCCTCCATCAGCCCCACATCGTCATCATCGCCGGCGTCTTCCTCCTCAAGGATGGCAGATGGAGCAGTTTGAGCCGTTGGAGCATATTGCATGTGGGGCGTGTCGGCGTCCTCATCCCCAATGTCGCCGCCGTGCTGGTCAAATATGTCCTCCGGAATGGAGGCCTCTTCTTGCAAATTGAAATCTGCAAGGAGCAAGAGAGAGGGCGGTATGAGTAAGAGGGAGAGGAGATCGGTGCCCGGGGGCGTCGTTCAGGTGGATAGCCGTAGCCAGTAAAGACGCCAGAATTCCCCACAATAAAATAACATAGAAAAGGTCAGCAGCCATAGCATCTCAAGTACATTCCGAACAAAAAAAATATATATATATATACACCTATATATAGAAACGGATGTGTGTTCTTTTGCCTTTTACTTAAATAAAAGTAAGCTGCTTGAATTGACTTCCACTTTGGGTCGCCCCGGCTAGCGGATATATATGCAGATATATGTAGATATATCTGTGCGTATCCGCATGCATGACCTGGCCAAAATAGGTTTTTACTCATAGTTGAATAGACAAGAATTCTTTTTCTCCTTTTTTTTGTGACCCTCTCGTGCGGTAGATCTTTTATGCTATGTCATTGACTGAATTGCCATTTGGGGAAACTCAAGCAAAAGGCGAGAGGATTCAGAGGCACACATAAGCAGGATTAAAATAAAAATGGCATTATGTTGTGTGTGTATGGTGCCAAACGACCGATAAAAGACATCTCAAATTGCCAGTGAAATTTTCTTATTTTTTTTTGGTTGAAACACAGACAAAAATATAACCAGAAAACATTTTAGTTGGACTTAGGCGACTTGTTTAAATATTTTTGATTTATTGAAAAGTTTGGCTCATGACAGCTAAAATTTATCATGACCAAATATTGCTTAACAATTTAAAGTTAAATTTTTTTAATTGATTAGTAGCCGAATTTCACACTTTTAGAACGAAAAAAGTACTTAATATTCCTAAATAATTTAAAGTTCATTTTTGATTGATTCTTAAAGCAATTTCACATATTTAGGAGCAATTTTCTTTTCATATATTTGGTTAAGACACAGACAGAAATCATTATGTTTGGATTTAAGCGACTGATTTAAATTTGTATATGATTTATTGAAATCTTTGGCTCTTGTCATGTTAAACTTATTTTAAATATTTGTTAATAATTTAAAGTAAGTTTTTTATTGATTCTTAGAGGAGTTTCATACTTATATAAACAGTTTATCTTCGAGTTCCTTATATAAACAAATATATGACTCAATTTTATAATATATACAAGTATAACAATTGTGTATTAACCAAGTGCATCACCTCAGAAAACGCCTTGTGTTCATTTCTCTGCCTACTTTCTTTACTTTACTGCCTCTTTTTTGGCCATTGTCCACACCTGGCGGCGGATTTCAGTCAAGTTAATAATTTGACCAGGCCAGATGTTGCCATTTGTGGACCCCTCGAATTATGGAAATTTTATTCAGCACGCCCTTTATTATTGCCATTGTTGCCATTGCTGTTGTGTGCTCGTCTAATTAAATTCTTTTTACTTTGATTAAATTAACACAAGCTTGGCAAACACACACACACACACAGCCAATCTCCGGAGACGAGCCTACTTTACCGGCTACAGAAAACAGTGAAAGAAGCGCCGGCGGTGAAAGCAAAGTTGAGCCCAAGTGAGTGAATGGCAAAAAATGCGAAATAAAATCACGCAAATGCTTTTTATGTCCCACGACGCTCTGCGGCGACACTTTGTGGAAGTGGAGAAAGAGGAAGACAGCCGGAGAGACAGAGCGAGACGGGGCGTGAAGATTGCGGGGAGTGGGTACAACGGTTGGGGACTACGGACTGCGGACTGCGGACTACAGACTACGGACTACAGACCACGGAGTTTGTTGGCAGCGGCGCTCAAGTGGGCGCCGCATTGAGGTTATCGTCATTGCACAGTGGGCTCATTTTAAACTCATTTAAATTATAAAAACAAATAATTTTTTTTTTTACAAATCTAAGGCTTTGACTATAACTAAAATTGTCTAACAGTTTTGAAGAAATCCCTAAAATCATTTAACAAGTAGCCTAAAAGTATTCGGTGAAATAGAAATTTTGTCATTTATCCATAAATTTTCGGACACAATATATATCGTAGCACACTTTTAGACACTGGTACAAGTGTTTTCAAATCTCTAAGGATTTTTCGGCAGTGTTATAAAAAAAATTAAGTAGAAACTTGTTGAATGTGCCTTTGAAATTAAAAATTTCATGAAAGACATAAATTAGTAAGAGGTTGTTAAGAGTTTAAATTTTTAATTTTGTTGTGAAAGTGTTTTGAAAATTGTATTATGAATGTTGTTCAAATACATTTTGATTTATTTTTTTTTATTAAAGATATAAAAGAGAGCGTATAAAGGGTGTGTTATTGGTGTTCCTTTTGAAACCACAGTGCTTTGGTGTCTCATCGCTTTTGTTGCCCGGCTGTCGAGTGTCGAGTGGTGGGCTGCTTCATCTGTCCTTCCAGTTGCCACTATGCTACTATGCCAACCCCCTGGTTATCCTTGCACCCCTTGGTTCTACCTCCCTGCTTCTATGACTGTTTCAAGGCATAATGAATAAATGTCGCATTAATTTGCACGCCGACCCAAGGGGGGTAGAGGGTACGGTGGTTGGTCTGGTTGAGTGAAACGCACTGAATTTGCTTGTGTGGAACGTCTGTTTTTCTTCATAGCTACCGAGGCAAAGAACGCAAATCCATGCCAAACACTCACGCACATACCATAAAGTATAGTACATCATGGACGTGTATGAATGTCATACAAAATCGCGTAAACAAACTGACCTCAGAATGTTCCCCTTTCATTCCTTTAGTGCATATTTGAATTTTGTGGCCCTCCGGAGTTTCATTATTTTGCTTGTAATGAGCATGTTGCATATTTTAGCAGACCCACTGACTGCTATACTTAGCCCATTTTTACCCCCATTCCCTCTGACTATTTCCTCTATCCACTTTGGGCTAATTAATAGACAGACGATTCAGTTTCATGCAGTGCAGGCACAGCGGGGCTTAAAATTTACAAATTCCCCCTACCGTACATTCGCCTTAATTAACCCATTATGGCCCAGTTGATTTTGGTCGCCGCTCCTCTTTAGCACCTTTGTCTCTCTTCGTTCACAACTTTTTGCATAATTATCCAACGATCTATTTGTCCATTCAACTGAGCAATTTGTTGGCCATCGCCTGTAAGCATTTCTCCATTTTCCCTAAAGCCTCCAAAAACATAAAAACATAAAGCATTGCCTACTTTTTTGGGTAGTCAAAAGGATGTTTTTTTTTACCACAAAAATGAGATTATTAGAAAAGGGAAAAATACCTGCAAAAAGCACTAAACAATTTGAAAAATAAATAGGGGAAATCTGCCTCTGAAGGGCAAACAAAATAAACGAACTTTGTGTTAGATAACGTTTCGCATGGTATTTTGCTGGGGCCCTCAGATTAGAAATGGGTGAATAATCCCAACCGTAATGGCTTTACCATATCTGGTTGCATTTATCGCTTTGTATTTTTTGGCGTAAATAAATGATGGTAATAGCTTTACAAAACTTTAATTGGGATGTAATTTTACAATGCTGATTAACAAACAAATTTCTGCACAATTGCATTTTAAATTATGTTGATGATTTGACTACTTACTTCTTTTCTACAAGAATTTCTATTAACTAATTAAATAATAAAAATTATTATTTTATTAAAAAATCAATTACTTACAATCGACAGAAAAAAAAATGTAAAACTTTTCAATTTCCCTAAAGATTTTTAAACTTGTAATTTTTATAATATTCTGTAGCAAAAAAAATAATTTTTGAATAATTTGAATTTAAATTTATAATAAATTTACTCTTTGTTATTTTTATACTCTGAGAAAACTATTTATTTAGACTAGACAAGACCATATAATTTTCTCCATTTTTGCAACCTTAACATGAGCTTTGCATATTTTATGAGACCTAAAATATTATCTTTCGATTAGTTTTGTTCAAAAAAGTGAAATCTGTTTACCATATTCCAAGTGAATTTATTGTAATGGAGCGCGAAGGTTGGGTCCTTTGTGCCTTTGATTGCGCTTGTGATGCGTTGGAGTGTGTGTGTGGGCCTGAGTGTGTTTGGCATTTAAATTTATTTAGTGCATAGTTGGCAGCAAGACAACAATGGCGACCACAAAAGCCACTAAAGTCTAATTAAAATGTCCGCAACCCTAACAATGTGCGCGACAAACCTATTGTTCTTGTTTTGGCTGCACTGATACATAAAATGAACAATAAAAATAAATATCTGACTATTGAATTCAAAATTGTATTATTATATTTAATGCACTGCTTATTAAATTGCATGATTTAATATTTATTTGTTTTAATTAATGTATAAAATATTAGATTTAATATAGTTCCTTTTCGACTTAAAGAATTTTATTTAAAATAAATATGGTTTAAATGTAAATTCAATTTTCGTATATTAAAATCAACACCAAATTTGATAAAATTGAAAACAAAAAAAGGTTTTATTATTTTAATGTTCAAAATAACTTAAAACAGAAATGGATGAAAATCAAAGTGAAAACAAAATATTTGCTTTTTTACCAGTGTGATTTTGTTATTGCTGTTGTTGATGCGACAACAAGTTTTTGGCCTCCCCAAAAGGCATTCCACCCATTCGATTTAAATGGAATACCAAAAATTGTTGAAATTGTTTTGTCGGGCAGCGAAATGCAAAAGTTAGCCACCAAAATTCTCGTTCACTTGACATCTGTCGAGCTTTTTACCCCGGCGACCTTGAAACATTGCAGTGGGTGGATGGATCTTTTAGTCCCCTTGTTTTTTTATCATCTACTCCCGCTGGCAATTCTGTTTGTTTTCCCCAAGTCACCACACCGCCGCGCTAGATGCGGCGTATGCGTAATATGTGTCATTGACATTCACCAGCATGGCCGCATGATGTTTTGTCAATAAAATAACAAACAAACGTAAACTGCGGCAGAGCGATAGTTGGGCATTCAACGTGGCGTATGCGTTATGCACTTGGTGCCTCAAAAGGCGACTGCAAATGGCAGGCGAATGCGGAAGCAGAAAGATCCAGAGAACTAATTTTGGCAGCCTGCATTGCATTGACGT